TAAATAAATAAAATATTTAAAAAAATCAACATACAAAAAAAAATTTCCTTACATTTATATTTGTAAATAGAATGGTCGGATAATGAGAATAATAAGCCCTTGTTGGGGATACGGTGTGCAGGAGATAAATCCTATAGGACGGGATGCTGCGGTGTAATGAAAAAAGGAAGGAAAGATTTAAAAAATGGCGATGCGATGGTATGGTACAAGCTCGAAAGGAAGTAATACAGGTTTAATCCTCCTTTAGGACTGCAGGACGGCAGGACGGTATATACATTATAGTTGGCGGTTCGATGCAAGCCCACGATAATGCATGGTTAGACAGAGAGTATATGCACTCGAGTAGGCGTCGTTTGCGATACGTGGATGATTGACACCTTGTAATTAGCTGTAGGCTTTATAGCTGACGCTTTCTCACTCCACGCTAAGCAAAAATAATATATATATATATATATAATTGTAATAATAATGATAAAGGATTAAGAGAAAGACGGTTCATCTTATTTGTAAGTTGGTGTATACAAATGCCATTCCCACGTACGAAAGTGCGCGACGGGACTCCCTCTGAGATCTTTCCTCATGAATATCTCCGACTCTCTTTCCTTATTCTCTTTTTTTTTATTTTATTTTGCGGTGTACGTTATGTAGCTTAAAATTTTTTGTATCCTCCCATTCGCCTCCTTGTCAAGAGACTTACGAGGAGGTGGACAAGATGAACAAGAACTTAAGTGTTTCCATTGTCTTTGCAATGGCTGATTCTTCATCTTGTCTTTTCATATCATTTTTTACCGACTGAGATTTTTTAATTATTTCACAAATATTATTTATCACTTCTTGAGATTACAGCCCTCGCTAATTTATTTTAATATTTTATTTATCTATTTTTATTATTTTATGGCTCATAATTGTTATAAGAAACATTTATAAAAGCTCGATTAATTTTTTTCGTCCTATTTCTATTGTTAGTCCACGAATTTTTATAAAAAAAATTCCCATGGAAAAATAAAAAATTAATTTGATTCAAAAGAAAAGTTCTTGGTCCTAGAAATTATTCTTGATTTAAATGAATTTTACTCGATTAAAAATTTTTTCAAATTCCAAATAAATTATTCAAAATGATTTTCTTGTTTCAATAATTTTTCTCTTGAATCAATTTAATTTTTTTATCAGTTTACATAAAATGGACAAGTTAAATTTTTTAATAATAAATTTCTTTACTCTTAATTAATATATTACAAACTTCTGTATTAATTAATTAAAATTAATAAATTTAAGGGTATAATTGAGTGGCTAATTATTTAAATTCAATATTGTAATTAATTTTAGACAGAAAATTATAGTTACAAATTTCTTGAAATTTATTTTACAAAAAAAATTATAAATTATAAAATTCACCGTGTAAATATTTAATAAATTTTTCTTCGTACAAATCGACGCGGCTATATTTCTTTTATTCATTTTTTTTAACTGTAATTTTTCGTCCTTATTTTCCTCATAATAAACTTAATTTTTAAAATATCCATTGAATTCATTCTACATTTTTTCAATTAAAAAATTTAATTTAATTTAATTAAAAAGATTATCAGATGCCCTGATGAAAAAATTAATTTTATTAAAGAAAAAAAAACTCTCAAACTAAGAAAATAATTTTTAAGAATTTCTTCGCCTTAATTTAAATCAAGCAGAAAAATTCTTATAAAAAATTTTTTACTGTGAAATAAATAAAAAATAAAAAATAAAAAATTGGTAAATTATCTTAAAAATCTGTAATAACTTTTGACTCTGATTTAAAAGTGACTGAACGAACATAAAATGGTATTGAGTGAATGAAATAAAAGCTAGCCGAAAGAAGAAAATATTTGAGGATTTAAAAAGATCCAAATATTTTAGTGAAAGACCAGATACCTTAAAAGTGAAACGATTAGCCTCTGACAGTACACTAAAAGATCGGTGTCTTTTGAAGCATTACTGTCCCATAGATCACCCACAAATTTATATCTTTCTACGAATATTTATATTTAAATTTTAATGATAAAAAAATCACCGCCAAAGTCGACTCCCAAGATTGTCATTTTTTAACAAACACATGTGTATTTTTTGGCCCGACCAATAAATATATAAAACGCGACAGACGTCATAATAAATAATAAATAACATTGTACATAATGTGAAGTGAGGATTTATTGATATTTAGTGATCGCGTGGGCGTAAATGTCGACCACTATTAAAATATTACGCATAATTATTATTAATCTGTGTCATATTTAATTTGTAGTAGTGGATTTTCGGGTGATTAATTCGCTAAAATGGCACAAATAAATTATTCGAGCAAATATCAGCGGATAAAAGTTATTCAGAGTCGGGTTTTTGGTATAATATTAAATAAATAATAGGAAGAGGATCTGAGGATGGAGGATGGACGGTGAACAAGATAAAGGTCCAAGCATAATTCGGTTAAAGAATAAAAGAAGAGTGAAAGAATAGTGTAGCAGATACAAACGAAAACAAATTTAAACTCTGGGAGTTTGCTCTGGGGTTTCTTTTAGTCTTTGGAAGTTCGTATTGCACCCGATGGGGTTCCATGTTCGCACAGCGGGTCTCCGTAATGCCCCTCCCTGATTTTAACATCTATTTACAAACATTTTGTCCGTGAGCTGGACAACAATCTTATTCCACTCCATATATACACAAATATTAATACACGGACACTGACAATGACCGACAATAAAAAATTACCCAACGCCGCTCGGTATCACAGAACACACATTCTGAAGATCATCTTTCTAAATACTTGTTAGTACTTTTTTAATTGTTTTTAGTTTTTTCCTCTTTGTTCTATTCAGATTTTCTTTGGAGTCTCACGCTCCGCACTTAAATTTTCAAGAACTATATAATTTTTTTATTTTTAAATATTTTGTTAAATAGTTTACTTTCAATTGTTGTTATTAAATTTTGAATTTAATTAAATAAAATTTTCACCAAAATTTTATTAAAAATTAAAATTCCAAAATTATTTAATAAAATCATAGAGATAAATTTTGATTTTTTCGAATATTATACTTGCAATTATTATTTATTAAATATTTAGACTTTTGAAAAATTTTGTTTAAAAAATTGAATATCAAAAAAATATCTGTCTTAATTTTTTCAATATTTTCTTAAGAATTTTAATTCCAAAATTATTCAGTAAAATTATAAGAATAATAAATTTTTTAAATACGATACTTGAATTTTTAATTATCAACTTTTGAGTTTCAATGATCCTGTCTAAAAAATTTTTAGTATCTTCAACATTTTCCTTAGAATATAAAAATCATTTTCAATTTCTAAAAAGATATCCCCGAATTGAAAAAAAAATTTTTTTTAATTTACTAAAAAAGTCTATATGATAGATTATTTCCTTTGAAAAATTTCTCCAAGAATACAAAGATCTATTTGAAAGTACAAATTGAATCAAAGTTCAATAAAAATGCAAGTCACCAAAAAAAAAAAAAGTAAAATCTGTGAAATATAATAAAAATTAGTGCATTGACAATAACGGAGCGTAAAAGCCATCCAAAGCTGTAGCAAATACCAGGACGAGTAATAATATAAATACAGGACATACAATAGATTTCCGAACCGAAATAAAAGTCAACGAGTTTTTCCGTTGACTGTTGGCTTTCGCACCGAATAGATTTTTTATTTATTTTATTCTAAAAAAAAAATCACACACGGCCCGTGCGTCTGAAAGTCTTCAGTCGAGCATCAGTTTTGACATTATGAATAAGTTTGAGCAAAAAAACTCACACCCTCATCTCTTTCACTGTTCTCGTTTCGGTTTAGGTTTCGGTTTAGTTCTTTGGGTGATCCCGAGGCTCATCCCAGGTAAAAGATCCAAAGTGACACGAAAGAAAAATATTTATACGATATTGTATAAAAGCCTTTTGGCTTTCTTCCATCTTGTATTTATACTCGTGTTTGCCCCCAATTCGGCATGGACTTTTGGTTCTTAATAATTCTCCTCAATACAAGCAGTCTCTCAATAACCGACCGCTAGACTGGACTAGTCATTTTTTCTTTCACGTCTTTAACATTTATACCTTTCATTCCTGTCAAACAAACGGTCAAAACAACCATTTATTTTTCATTCTTAAACACTTTAACTATTTACCTCATGCCTCATGCTTACACTTTTTTCCTTTCTTCGCTCGACACTTTGTTTTATCTTAAAAATCATGACCACAAATCGCATTATATTACAATCCTTTTTAATACTTATTACAAACAGCGCTCGGAAGTTTTTCATTTGTACTAAGTAGGATTTTAAACATTTTTTTTTATATAAAATTTTTAATCCTAGTTGGTTTTTCTTTTTCAAACTTTTAACTTTGGACACTCTTGATTTTTATGTCAAAAATTTTTTATACAAAATATTCAATTTTTGTTTTTTTTTTTTTTTAAAAACTATTAATTCAAAAATTTTTAATTTTCAAATAGATCAAAAATAATAAATTTATTCTACTCCAAATTTTTTATCTGTCATTTTTCAAAAATAAATGTAAACATTTATTTAGTGTCAAAAATTATTGTATAAAATTTTTATTTGTAATTGAGTTTATACCAAATTTGATTCTTTTTATTTAGTATAAAAATTATTAAGTCAAAAGTAAAAATTCAAATTATTTATTTTTGCCGGTAAAAAAAGTTTAAAAATGAAAAATTTTTTATTCAATAAAAACGTAAAAATTTTTCAATTTTCGCTTAAAAAAAAAAAAAACTAGTCATTCATTTTACTGTAATTTTTCATATTTCAATTATTTAAATAGTATTAATTGCACGCAAAAATTTTTACGGTAATTTTTAGACTAACTGATCAAACTACATTTTTTTTTACATGTCTAAATTTTTATAATAAAAAATAAAAGCTCAAATTTTAGATTTTTCTCCAATTTCAAAAAGCTTAAAATTACTAAATTTATTACTTAAAATAATTCCTTAAACTTGCTTAAAAAATTCATATGAAAAAAAAATTACTAATACCACTTAAAAAATTTATTTTCCAGAGATGTAAAGAGAGACTGAATACATTAGCAATATCTGTAATGAATCAATGGCCAGGAGTTAAATTACGCGTCACTGAAGGGTGGGATGAGGAAGGTAAACACGCACAAGATTCGCTTCACTACGAAGGACGAGCCGTTGATGTAACGACAAGTGATCGAGATCGTTCCAAGTATGGAATGCTTGCAAGGCTCGCTTTTGAAGCTGGCTTCGACTGGGTCTACTACGAATCCCGATCTCACATCCACTGTTCCGTTAAATCAGGTAAGTGCTTTTCCAAAATTAATTTCGTTTTAAAGTGTTAAGTAAAAAGAGAAAAGGTGAAAATAAGCCAGGAGTCAGAGTATGCATACACATATGTATATATATATATATGGATATCTTACATGGATATATGGAAGAATATAGTCGGCGCCGGGCATTAAATCTTTGATTTACTCGAAAGCGGAAGGTTCTGAAGTAAAACGACGCGTTAATATGTTTTTTTAAAAAGAATATATTTAAGAACTTTTCAAGCGGTTGTATTGATGACACTACCGCGTGTAATATATCGTCGGATATGAGGATGCCCAATGAGAATAAGAATAAAAATAAGAATGTTATTTTAGAAAGAAAAAAAAATAAAAATAAAATAGAAAAAATTCAGAGATAGTATAATGTTAAATTAAACGAAAGATAAGAAAAACTTAGGAGCTAAATTTATAGAACTTTTCGTTTTAAATTTATTGTTTATCGGTCATAAATAAAATAAAATTAATTTCTTAAACTGTTACTGTTTTTACAAGCCCGGTACGAGTCATCAGGCATTCTAATTGATTGCATTAAATATATTTTATTGATAAGAATTTAGAGTTGAGAAATCTTACGAGTATTATATTTTATTTATAAACAAACATTTGTTATTTTTATTTTATCAATGCTCGCTTTTATTGATAATAAAAATTTACAATTAAGTAAATTACCTGATTTAAATTCAACTGTTTATTTTATTAAACAAAAAGTAATTCGTGATATAAGATAAATATTATCGATTTAGATAATAAGGGGATTCCCCTTTGAATTTTACGCCGAATAAATGGATGCAATAAATATAAAATTGATTTGACAAATTTTATTTATTTTATTGGTTGCAGCAATTTTGTTTAAATTTTTTGTTTTATGGTCGGAAATTTTCCGTGGAAGGTTAAATAGTTGTCTTCTTTAACCACGCTATCGCGGGTAGTCTTCTTCTATATTGCCAAGCTTACATTTCAAGGCTCCAAGGATAATCTAGACTGACATTGAGATTTTTTCATTTTATTACTTTTGTTTATTATTTAAATAATTCTGATTGTAAACACATTAATCTAATTTGCTTGAGTAGAATTAAAAAACTTATTTATTATAATTAATATTATCAAAATAATTTAATCGTTTGTTTGCAAAACCTCATTAAGGTAACTAGTTTTTTCTGGAAAAATTAATAAAGAAATTATAAAAATTAGACTGCAGATTTTTTTTTAAGCTTATTGTAAAAGAAGAAAGAAAAATTTTAGATTGAAAAAATAAAAAGTACTCAGAAAAAAAAATTTTTGACTTAAGGGTAATTTTTTTTGGCTGAAAAAAATACTAAAAATTTCTTCTTCAATTTTTTTTATAATAAAATGAATTTTTTTATTAATCACTAATATTTATTTTTATTTCAAACTCATTTAAAATTACTTTCTACTTTTTAGTTTAGTTTGCTATCGAGCGGTATTTTTTACTTTTTTCATCTCAAAGCTAGCAAGACTCGAGTTTCAAGATAAAAAAATAGCAACATATGACCGCTCTAACTCGTAAAATCCTTTCAACTAAATCAATACAAATGTCAGTAGTTTATTCCGCTCAATTCGTTCCTCTAAGCCCTCGAAGCTTCTACGACAATTTTCTGGATGAGAAATAAGACTTTTATCTCTTCCATTGATATATTGAATTAATGGTCCTTCTCTAAATCCAGCGGAGTTTAATCTTACAAAAAATTCCAATAATTACTTCCTATAATCAAATAATAATAACAATTACTTTTATTTTCCAACAGAATCATCATCAGTAGGAAAATCAGGAGGTTGTTTCCCGGGAAAAAGTCTAATCCGAACATCAGACGGCAGCCAAAAAGCGCTGTCAGACCTGAAAGTGGGCGAGAAAGTAGCAGCCTTGGACTCTCGGGGCAACGTTGTCTACAGCGAGGTCCTGGCGTTTATGGACCGCCAGCCAATGGAGAAGCGACAGTTTATCAAGCTCACAACGGCATCCGGGAAACATTTGACCCTTACACCCGCGCACTTGGTACCGGTCCAGCAGAGCGATAAGGAGACAGTGACTTTTGCCGCTCGGGTTAAAATTGGCGACCGTATCTTGGTCCAGGATTCTGTTCCATCAATTTTATCTTCTTCTTCTTCTTCTTCTTCTTCTTCTGCAGAAGAGCTCAGATTACGCTGGGACTCGGTAATTGAAGCAAAACTAATCCTTGACAGCGGAGTGTACGCTCCACTCACCAGCGAGGGAACTGTCTTGATAGACGATGTTGTTGCTTCTTGCTACGCAGTCGTTGACAGCCAAACTGTGGCCCACTATGCCTTCATGCCCTTCAGAGTCTTCCATTACATCCAGTCGTCCTTGGAGAGCATTTACAGCTTCTTTGTGCCCAGTTATAATTCATTTTCTGAAGTTCCGGAGAAGAAATTAGAAGAAGACGAGGATTTGGCTACCAACGAGATCCACGACCGGGAAATCGAAGACTCTGAACCCCAAGGTGTTCATTGGTACCCGTCTTTCCTTTACAGAATTTCTGCATACGTCCTGCCGTCTTCAATGATATACTAATTAAAAATTACCTTATATTTGACTCGGCAAGGTGACAATTTATTTAACTAAAGGAATTCATTATGTCAAAGATGTAATGATTAATTTAAATCAATCATTAAAATATAAAAATACAATGAATTTTATAAATATTTATATATAAATATGAATTATAATTATTAATTATTTTATAACTATTTATAAACAAAACAAATTTATATTCTTATTATTTTAAGTCGTAGAGAAATAATGGCCAGTCTCAGTCGCATTTTTTTAATTATTAATTAATTTACGTACTTATGCGTATTTGTAAATAATAATCGATCGCTTTTATAATTATTTTAGATCTTTTGGAAAACCCAAAAATAAAAAAAAAAAAAAAAAAAACATATTTATCAGTTAATTAACTGTACTATATTTTTATTTTATTATTATAATTATTATTATTAATATTATAATTATTGTAATTGTTAAGTTAATTATTAAAAAATAAAGACTAGATTTTTTGCTTTTTACTTTTTGTAAAGCTTAAGTTATAACATTATTTTATTATTATTTTTTTTTATTAATAATATATTATTATTATTATTATATTTTTATCGAATTATATCGTAAAATGATTGTACGTAGTAAAAGTTATAAATTATGTATATATTGAAGGATGAAATAGATTCAATGCTAAATTAATAAATGCTTGTTTTTTTTTTTATTATTATTCTTACGTTTTTAATAATATTAAATTTAATTAGCTTCAGTGATGATAAAAATTGAGTTAAAAATTTTTTATTTAATTATCAAATTTTAAATAATTATAATTTATTATTCGGTAAGAGTTTTAAGTGCTATTTCTGAAGTTTTGACTAAAATATATTTTTAAGAATAAATATCGATTTATATTGACCACTCTTCTAAACGCAACCTTCAACAATAATCATTGAAGAACTTTGTCATCATTATTTTTATATTTGTCTTTTTTTTTCCAAAAATTATTCGGAATTGTTTAAACTTTCATCTCTATGAAGAAAGATACTTAGTTTGAGAAAATTTTTTATAAAAATGTTATTTAAAATTTATTACTCCAATAATAATACTAAATTTAAAACAGTTACACTTTTTTTTTTTTTTTTTTTTTTATTATTTAAAAAACAAATAAGTGAGAAGAAAATATTTTCAAAAAATTGCGTTCAAAGTTTAAAAAATTTTTTTTTCAATTTTCTGCATAGAGATTTATTTCTTCGCAAAAATTAAAAATTTTCCTTTCGGATGTTTTGTTAATTTCAGTATTACAACACAATTATTATAATTAATCCAAAAACATAAGGTCATAAATTAATAAATAAATATATATGAAGTAACGTCATTAACAATTAAAAATGAAGAAATACATAAAATGCAAAAACCAACATGTATTATAATTGCCGGAAACTTTTTCTCCAAATAAATTTCCATCTGATTAGTTCGTTCTCTGCGTCCTGAATTTGTATCACAATAATTATTTTTGTTTGTATCCTCTTTTGTTTATAATTTATTGTCATGTCAAATGGGATATAGTTGGTTACGTTTGATTGAATATTTATAAGTTATTTTATTTTATTTTATTGTGAATTTACTGGGTTAGATTCGAGGAAGAGATTGAGACAATTGTTTGATATTGAAGCTAAGTAAGGGATGTTTTTGAGAAGTGAGAGGAAATGAGAGTAGAATGGAAGAAACTGAGGCGCCAGACGCTTCCTCAGAAGATGAACTTGACAAAGTTAAAGTTATTGTACTTGAAAATTTTTAGATTACAGATAGTTTTAAGGTTTTGCTTCTTTTTAAAGGAAATTTAACTATGTTCTCTTCCGGCAGAGCCAAGGAGTTGTTTTACCGCAACTTACCAGTGTTGAGAAGTATTTCTTTGACTTTGTTGCCAATGGGAATCTGACCTGTGTTAAAAAGTTTCTTGAAGCTAATCCACATTTTAAAATTAATGCTGTTAACTATCAGGTATTTTCAATGAGTTATATTTATATCGCAAATTTTAATTTAGTCTTTACTACTACTAGTTATAATAATAATTATGTTAGCTTGTGTAATGAATATTCTATGATTATACCTTATTAAAATAAATTATTCAATTAATTTCCATAGTAGGAACAATGGTCGGGTTTGTAATACAACTGGACGATTTTTAATTTTATTGGTCTTTTAAAATTTCTGATTTGATGATTTTAATCGACGAAAAAATTTTTTAAAGCTTCGTATAAATCACACGATAAATCTATTATCCAAGACACAAAATTATTGTCAATTATTTAACACAATTTACTATAATTATTTTCAAAGGTTAGCGTGCGTTAAATTACCACAAAAATGTTGATAAAATTAACTTTTAACTAAAATTACGCCCTAAAATTTGTGTTGAAACAAAAACTGTAAAATCTATTAAATATTAGCCATAGTACTAGAGTTACTAACTACCAAAAATATTACAACAGTGTAAAAATTAAAAGGCTGTTCTGAATATATAAAAAACAAATAATTCCTCGCGTTTAAATAATGACCTGACTTTATTTTGGAATTTAGTCGGCGACTTTAATAAAATTATTCGATGATAAATTTGATAAATTACAACCTCTAAAGTGTAACTTGGTAAATTCAAAAGTTTAAATTCGACAATAGAATTTATATTTTATCTATTGCCTAAGATGTTTAATACCAAAAATAAAACGCTAAAAGTGTATCTCCGGTCATAAATCAGAACCTAACAAGACAATAATTTGAAAACTATCGCACAACAAAAAAGTCTAATTCATCCTGATGAGACCTGAAAAAAACCGGCATCGGGTCTCTGATGCATCATAAAAACCTAATATTTAGTAAACACGTCTAATCTCCACCAGTACAAGTTGAGATCTAGATCGAGATCCAGATGTAAGGTATCCTGTAAGGTTAAGGGCATGAATGACTCGAAGAAAGAATGAAACGCGTGCGGTAAAGTGACGGGGCACATTAAATTAGCCTTATTCAGGATCAAATGTTTCCAATGTAATAAAAAAAGGCAATTGACGCAACCAGTACAGCAACATAACGCCGTAACAGTGTAAGAGTCAGATTCATACCAAAGGAGCGGCGTTTATTGAAAAGAGCGGCTTTTCCGAGGATTCTTTAAGTGGCCTATAAACTACCGATGCCTTCACAACGGGGGTTATTCCGTTACCCACATTTCTGATGTTATTCGCCTTCTGTCACTTGGTCTTTTTCTTATATTACTATACAGAGTATAATACTACCGTCTATTGTCAACTCTCAGTGTTGAGGATGTAACAGACTCCAAGGTTCTCAATAAAAAACATGGCGTCAACTTCTTTGTCGGTTCTCGGGCCGACAGCTTCACAAATCCCGCTTTCGTCCCTCTCTCTTTCATCCCAAAATTCACTTACAACTATAAAATTAATTAATTCTCTCACTCCTTCGAGCCTTTCTCACGCCCTCCACAATCCAATATCAGCTCCTCAATTCCCATTTACTAATTTTACTGTCGCATCAGCCTATAACTTACGCTAACGCTTATTAACGCATTGTAACCTCACATTTATGCCTGCAGAACCTCTCAGCCCTTCATGTAGCCGTGTTAGAACGTGACATACAAATGCTGGAACTGTTACTTTCGGTTCCGAACGTCGACTGCAGTGACACCGCCCTACACGCGATTCGAGACGACCAACAGCAAATGGCGGTGATGATTCTCAACAAAATGGAGGAGCAACGTCCTCACTCGGAGTTCGCTGGCGCTGTAGATAGTTCTGAATTTTTAGACGAAACTACGCCTATGGACGTTGCTGCGGCCTACGGACATTTTGATATGATTAAATTACTTGCTGATAGAGGACATTCAATCAAGAAACCTCATCCGCCTGATTGCTACTGCCGAGAAATTTGCAAGTAATTCAATTGTTTTACTTTTGACATTTTCGCTTGGAACTTTTCAGTGAATTTTCTTTTATTTCAGGCGTGAGAGGGAAAATGAGGACCCGTTGACACTCGACAAAAAAAGACTGGCCCGGTATCAAGCCTTCTCGAATCCTGCTCATATTTGTCATATTTCTTCGGATCCTATTCTCATAGCCTTTCAACTTTCATCCGAACTTGGAAGAGCTGCTGTCGTACAACGGGAATGGCACAAGTTTTACAAACAACTATCGCAGGTTTTTTTTGTAAAAATTCTTGTTTTTTTGTTATAAATTTTATAAAAAATTTATTACGGGGGAAAATCCTTCAAAACGACTCATTTTTTGGTATTTGTTTTAATAGATGATGAAATAATTATAGAATTTTGGAATTTTAACATTATTTTATTTGAATTTTGAAGAGTACAAAAACAATTTTTTTTGAACTGGCACAAGCTCCAAAAGTTCTGTATTTCTCATTACACGGAAAAAAGAAAAATGGAAAAATTACATTATATAATGTAAACGTGACGCTCCGTATAGAAAACAAGAAAAATTACTGATGTTTCAGACTGTAATTATTACAGATTTTATAAGAATTACATTTTAGAATGTAATATTTGCATTTTAATGTAATAATTACAATCAGAAACTGTAATTTTTCTAGTTTTCTTCACGGAGTGCCACGTTTACATTATATACCTAATGTAATTTTTTCATTTTTTTTTCCGCTTTTTCGAGCTTGAAATCCTTAAAAGTCTTCCAATTGGTTGACTTTTGAGCTCTTTGATTTAAAAAAAAATTTTTGAGCCAAAAAATCATTTAAAAAAATTTTCTTTTTAATTTAAAGCAATAATACTTTTCAAAATGATTTTCTTGATGTGCATTTACTCAATCAAAATTAAATATTTTAATTTTTCCTCTCGCTAGTAAGTTCTCAATACATTAAATTTTCGGTTTATAAAAAAATTAAATTTTTTAAAGTTTCCGAGAGAATTTCCCTTTTCAAAACTATTAATTTGGTAGGACGTGACACGGTTTGGAGCAGAGCTAATTGGTTGCGCGAGAAAGGCGGGTGAAGTAGAACATGTTTTAGAAAGAAAAGCTGGGATGGTTTTTTCCATGAATTTCATTTTTCCACGATTACTTCTGGCGATTGAGTGCAAGCAGAAGGCTTTCGTAGCCCATCCTAATGTTCAACAGGTATTATTATCATTATTTATAATATTATTATTATCATAGGGTTTAGGTTAACTTTATTTTGGGAAATTCGTTTCACAGTTTATTTATTTTTCACTTTATCCACGAGGTAATTGAAAATAAATGGATCGGAGAGTGGTACGGGTGGACGAAAAAATCCCGAGCTGCAAAAATAGCGACCGTTTTTTGGAGGATACCCACCTTTTGGTTCATGGCGCTCTGGGTTTGGGTCGCTCCAGGCTCAAAACGCGGCAGAAAGTGGCAGATTCCTGTTCATCGTTACATTTCAATTGTCGCGAGTTACTTGGTCTTCTTGACGATTTGCTTCCTGCAGTCGAATGTCAACAAAAAAAATCAGCTGCGTGGCCCACCAAATACTGGTAATTAACAAAAATTTATATATGTATTTATAAAGTCATATAAGGCAAGTATGCGCAATTAAAAATTCAAACTAGTAGCAGCTGAAATTGCGAAACATGTACTCATTTTTAAGATTTTTTTTTTTTAACAAATAAATTAGAGCGAGAAAAATTTAGAAAAAAAATCACACATTTAGAAGTTGCAAAAAATTTTATGCTAAATAAAAAGCTTAAATACATTATTGACGGAAAAAAAAATTAATTTACTTTAGTTGCTATTCGCAGTACAGTGTGACAATCTTTGTCAATTAAGATAGCAAATTTTTTAATTTGCTTACATACATCACAAACTTCTCCTTGCCCATTCATTTATTCATGAATAAAGGGATTGCGCGCAGTTATCCCACATGAATTCTGTAATATATAAATGATTGATCAAGAAGTGTATTTTTTGGATGATTGATAAAATGGATTTCAGGATGCGAGGTGCCGCTAGTTATTTATGTGATATCGTTCATATGGGCTGCGATACGTCTATGTATGATTCATGGTCCCAGCAGATACTTTCGCTCCCGATGGAATTGGTAATAAAAGTCATAAAAGATATCATCCGTTGGGTGAAACAATAACTTTATCAGTTGATTAATTTTTTAGGTACGAAGTTGTAATGCTCATATTATTTATCATGACATTTATCTTCTGGATAGCTTCGGCTATAGATGTGAGACTTCACGACCAGAGAGATCTCGAGCGTAAATATTGGCACAAATATGACCCGACACTAGTTGCCGAGGGTACGCTATGTCTTGCTACAATAATGGCCTTTTTCAAACTTATTTTCCTTTGCCAACTTGATTATAATCTTGGACAACTTCAAGTAACGCTCGGGAAAATGATACAAGATGCTACTAAATTTTTACTCCTTTTTTGTATTATCATATTTGCTTTTGCTGCAGGTAAATAATTATTCCAAGAATTTAACAATTGTTTTACAAAAAAAAAGTTTACTTTAACTAAGAACATTTTGCTCTGCAAAAATATTTTCTATGACTTATTAATTGAAAATTTATTTTTAAATAATAAATATTATTAACAATTAATTTTTATTTAAATAATAATTTAATATTTAACCATCTTTTACTAAAATTTTTAACACAAATCAAACTTATATTTAAAATTACTGCAAACAGGTCTAGCCAGACTCTATCAATACTACGACGGAATGGTCCAAGTAGACGACGAGTCAAAGATAAAAATCCAGCAAGTTTCTTCCTTCGTCGACTTCTTATCAACCTTGAAAACACTTTTCTGGGCAATTTTCTGTATGAGCACCATCGAGTCCGCGGATGTTATAATTGAAAACATTCCCGGCGAAAGTGATACCGAGTCAATTATCAACGAGCATGCTTTCACAGAAGGCATCGGATATTTTGCATTCGCGGGTAAGTATACACACAGAATAAAAAATTAACTTGAATCAAGTAAATAATTTTGAAGAATTTCATCTTCTTGATTTGAGTAAAAAAATTTTTAAACAGAAATTTTTCTTGGTTTAAGTTAATTTTACTTGATTCAAGCATTTTTGGTCTTGATTCAAAATAATGAAACTCTTCAAAATTATTTTCTTGGTTTAAGAATTTTTTTCTTAATTCAAGTTAATTTTTTTTTCGGTGCATAAAAGTTCACTTAAGGTAGTTGTCATGGTAAAATATATTCAAAAAATTAGAGATTATACGCACCGCAAAAGTATATGCTTGTAGCTAATTATCGAACTTTAACCCGTAATTTATAAATAATTAGACGGTCAAAAATTTTTTTTAAACTCACAACAAATTTAGAATTTTTTTTGGGTATGACAACCACGACAACTACCTTAAGTAAATTTTACTTGATTCGAGAATTTTTTTTCATCAAGTTAGATTTTTTTTTTGTCAATCGGACAAGTATTTTCAAAGTTATACGCATATTTGTAAATTAAACTAAAGCCGAAAATTTTAAATGTCTTCTTTTCAAAGTCAATAAGAAAAAATAATTAAAAATGGCTAATATAAGATCAGTCTCTAATTTTCACATAATTTTCTTGACTATATTTTTCAATAATTTATCCAAAGAATAATACTTCCATAAATATTTTATATTCTATATAAATTATATTTTATATTCTTGCAGGTTTCGAGTGTATTTCTGTGATAGTTGTCCTCAACATGTTGATCGCTTGCATGTCGAACACGTTCACGGCAGTCACCCGTAACGTCGACGTCGAGTGGACATTTGCTCGCACAAAAGTAATAAAACTATACAGCACTTTAGAAGTTAATATACTTTTGGGATTTAATTTAACTTGCTAAAATAAAACTTTTCAGGTTTACGTCAATATCATGGCTCTGAACTCGTTACCACCCCCTTTCAATCTTCTCCCGACTTGTAGCGAGTATCGCACAATCGTCGAGTTCGTAAAACTTTTATTTCGTCCAACTAAAACCAAACGAGCTCGATGGAACTTCAAACACGGCTGTTATATTGTAAGTTTTTAGTTATTAATTTTTTTTTTATTTATTAAATTTGTCAGGAAGCTTCCCAGTATAGTTTCTTGGAGATTAATCGAATCTGGAAATTTTTTATAACTTTATAAAAAGTATCTAATGGTCGTATAGAAGTAATTGAACCCAAGATTTTTTATTGAATTTTCAAGCCTTTTATTGACTGAAAAATAAATTATTTTTTAGAGAAAAAATATTCACAAAATTTTTACAATTTTTAAAAATTTGCAATGTAGTTTTGTAAAAATATTTTTTTTTTTTTAAAATTACCAAAATTTTTCTCTGAATTAATTGTGAAATATATTAGACGTCTTTTGTCCCGAAAAATCATAGCCGGTCGCGGTTATTTATTTTATAAATTATTTATTTATTCACTTGTTGAATACAGCAGTCACGAGTAAAATAAATTACAACTGTCATCCACAAAATAAAATACAGCTGTCATGAAACAAAGTAGATAATGATCTAGCTTCTTTACAATATTAAAATTGAGCAAGAAAATTTTGTGACAACCGTATCTGTATGATAATTATATAATATACCCGATCTTTGAAATTCTGGAGCGGAGGTGTAAAAATAAATATTGTCTCTGATAAAGAAGATTTTGTCTAAACGACCTATGATATATTATAATAAAATAATTAAGTATAAATAATTTTTTTTTTGTCAGGAAAATACTGCAGAGAACAACAATGAAAAATTTGAAGAAATAATGGGACTGCTAGTGATGCGCTACTTCCGTAAAAAACATGTAGAATCGGAAACGAACGAGATCCGGGGGCTCAGAAAAGATTTGAATGAGTTGAGGTACCTGCTGAAAGACGCCCTATCACCAGCTTGAACTAAAAATGAAACAAAATTAAACCGTAAAAAGTAAAGAGTTAATTTTAAAATTAATTTTATTTATATTTTATTGTATAAATTTTTATTATTTTAATTCATATTTCATTTACCGTACGGTAATAAAAAGTGACCGTCGTAGACTCGAGGGAAATCAGAACGATAAACCGTGAATAGCAAAGTAGAATGCTAAATTATAACTTTAATATAAATATAATTAAAAAAAAAAATAAAATAAATAAAATATTTATCTTAACTTTGGCTTTGACATTATTTCACATGTAAATATTTGATTATTTATTCATTTGTAAGTCAAAGAATTGAATCAGTAGGTCAGTTATTAATTAGGATAAAATATTTGATCTAATATTTTCCAAAGTATTTAACCGCATTACCAAATAACTTTTGTCTTTGTTATGTTACATAATAAACAAACATGTGAATATTTTAAATCCGTTGGTTAATAAATGAGGTGGGTCTAAGATTTATTAATTACGCTCGTTTTAAATAAACAGACATTTTGCCTTACGATAATAATATTTTCAATTACATAATTATAATTAGTGTTTTTAAGAATGAATTGCACAATTTTTGTAATACTACTAACTATTGCGTCATCGGTTGCGGTAAGAATTAATTGATTGTTTTGATTTCGGTAATTAATTCATTTATTATTAGTTAAGTTTGAGTCGAATTTTTTTAAGGTAATTAATCACAAATTTACTTGTATAATAAATTAATTTATCAGAAGAAATATTAAAATGTTTTTTTTTTTTTTTATACTATACATGATAATTTAACCTTTGAGTATATACCTAAAAAAATTTTTTTGAAGTATTCGTTAACAATTTGGAATATGAAACTTGTTTCAGCTGAATAAAAATTTATTTTAGTGATCTAAATTTTTAAAAGTTAATTATTTTACGACGAAGAATATATGAATTACAGAATTATCAAATAAACTATGTTATTTTTCTCGAGTAACTTAAACAAAACTTTCGACGACAATAATTCAAACGAAATAATTCTCCAACAATTCAATAAATAACAGAGTTATTAAAATAAAAAGGTCCGTATGGTCAAAAGTTCAACGAAGAAAATAGGGGAAACGACGTAACTGGATAAGAAGATCATAAACTTCAGTAGCTTGAGACCTCTGGATAATTTTCCCTATTTTCTCAACCTGGCGACCGTAAATTATCATCTTGATACCAGTACATTTACCCACCGCCCACTATCCCGATCATCCTTTTTTATCAGAGAGACCAACATCTGTTGTCTGCAAACTAATAAGGTAAAAAATCTTTACCAAAAAATTACATCAAAAGAATTTGCGTTAATTAAAGCTTTGACGCAACTGCTAAAAATTTCTACTGCACCAAAAAAAATTTAATTCTAGAGAACTTTTTTTTATTATTATAATAATGAAGATAGGTATAAAATAACTTTAGAAATCTCAATGCGAATAACATTTACTGGAAAGATTTATATAATAAAATTGGCGGCGCTAATTAATAAATTATTTGAATTATTGAAGGTGTTTCGCGTAGAAAATCGATGAAGTTAATCAACTTTTACCTGAAGAAATTTGACTTTTCTCATCCTGACCCATTAAGGAGTCCCTAATACAATCAAGACTTCGGTGACGAATCTGAGTAACCCATAACTGATTTTATAAAGCTTGAAGATACAAAGCTTAACGGGTTTGCCGCTGCCATATCATAAAAAATCATATTATTAGTGTACAAAAATTTTAATATTGAAAAAAAATTTGTTTGTCTATGAAAAAAATTTAAATTAAAAAATTCAAATTCCGAAAAATTTTTCAAATAGATCAAAAGGAAGTGTAATACATGTGACTCCAAAATTTTTTTGGATAATTAAACAAAATAATTTTGCTACAGTTAGTTTAAACATTTTGTCGCTGTAACTAAGTGATTTTATTGTCAAAAATAGTTGTAAAATTTTGGGAAGGGTTTTTCCAAAATTGTCATTAAAGTTATAATTTTTTTATTATTGTAACAATTAAAAAATTCTGGGTATGGTTAACTCTGCAGGCTATCCCTGGGAACTTCCTGTTATATTCAAGTTTAAAAGGCTTAAAAAATTTTCTATACCAAAGTTTGTAGCTCGAAATAAAACTTTGAGCTTGAAAATCTAGTTACTGCCTCGGAAAAATGTTTTTTTTTTAAATTTAGCCATTAAAATTATTAATTATTTGAACAAAATAATTTATCTATTTCAACAACATTTGTTATACCAACTGAATGGTTTATATTGAACCAATAAAAATTTTTTCTTATTCTAACATAACAACCTTGTTATTTAAACAAATCAATTTGTTCCTTAAACTGAAATATTTTGTTGTTATAACAGATAAATTATTACTTATTAAAATCTAGACTTTGTTATCCTAAAATATGATTTTTTATCCCTATGTTAACATATTCATTTTTTGAATACGTTGCCCCAACAAAAATTTTCTTGCCTGTAATTTTTACAAGATTAAAGGTCTTAGATGTCAAATTTCTACCCTTAAGCCCGAGTGTTTGCATAGATTTTTTCCGTGGGGAATTTTTGCTTATAAAAAAAGTACTTTCTATTTAAGTATTTACAAACGCTATCCAATAAAAAATCCGTCAAAAGATTTCGTCTTTTGTCACAGAAAAACTCGGAGCCTGAAACTTTTATTCACATTTTATACCGGAGACATACAAAGGAGTAACGAGTTTTAAATAAGTAGTGTGTAATATAAGTAGAAATGGATTTCTCTGGGAAAAGCTACACAGAAGAAAGGGCTGAGGTGTAACGCAAATATCTACCCACACCAGAAGGGAGGAGAAAATACAAGCTCAAGCTCTTCTCCTCACTTGTACTTCTCGTAACTATAACCCGAGGGTTTTCTCCGAGGAGATGAAAGCGACGAGTTTCCGGCCGACGCGCACCACCTCCATCCTCTAACGCGGAAGGGGTTTGTGAGCAGTGCGATTTACTCTCATAGCACAGTCTCTTATTCAACCCGTAACGTGTTCATTACTCTTTTTACGGGAATTCTTTGTAGTTATTTCTTAATAAAGTTTAACCCGAGTAATTTTTATTTACTCCGACTCTAGTATTTTTTTTTTATTAATTTTTACAAAATTTACTGACTTATAATGATAACTTTTTCATCCGACCGAAGGTTTGTTTACTTTTTTTTCTTTCGAAATAAAATTGCATTGTAAAAAAAAATAAATAAAGTTTTTGTTTTGTAACTATGCGAAGTGTGAACAGTATGTAAGGTAAAAGACTCAATTATTGACACTTGCAATTTTATTTTAATTAAAAAAAAGGTCAATTTTAATAAATTAATAAATGTAATTTGTAAATAATAAATTTTAAGATAAGTGGTTTTTTGAGAACATTTTTTTTTAATTGAAATAAAATTGCAAGTGTCAAACAACTAGGCCAGTGTCAGTAACTGGGTCTTTTACCTTATGAGTAAATTAGAGTGTTTAAAAAAAATTGATATTTTTTGTTTTGAGGAACATAAAAAAAGCTTGTTAAAATACTTACGAGTCATTAATATTTTATTTATTATTTAATGTTTCTAGTGAATTAAATGCTCGATAAAAAAAGTCTGATTAAAGATTTGCGTAAATAAAATGAACTTAAAGTGAGATAAATTTCTGATTTCAAAACTTTTTTTACTTGATATGGGAAAGTTGAATTTTTGAAAATTATTTCTTGCTTCAAGAAGTTGATGTAAGGATAATATTAAATATTAAAGAGAAATAGATGGATTTTATCACGTTTAAGAGTTAATTAATAATTTTATAATTTATAGCTAATTAATTTAACGCAAATCTTTAACCAGACTTTTTTTTATAGAACTTTCAATTCCCTGCAAACACATGTCCTGATCATCCAGTAAAGCGACTTGTTGCCGAGTTACAAGATTCTAAAATTAAAAATAAAATTATCGGTGATAAAAAAATTGATGACTCAAGAATAAAATCTTGAAACAAGAATACAATTTTTAAGAAAATGATTTTTTTGAGTTGAAAAAAAAAATTCTTGAACCAAAAAATTATTATTAGTTCAAGTAAATTTTACTTAATTCAAAAATTTTTTGTCTTCATCAGAACTTAAAAATTTTTCAAAATTATTTTCTTGGTTTAAGAATTTTTTTTTAGTGTATTTTAATAGAGTTTTTTGTCTATAGATTTTCAATGTTATTTAAAACTCAAAAAAATCCATTTTTGTAAAACATTCTATTGTGTACTTGCATGTATGTGTATATGAGAATGTTTGTATACACATATAGATAAACAAGTATCGGACCGGCACACAGAGATCGGAGAAATGATATTGGAATTGGAAAAAACTGTATAGAAATAGGAATCCTTTATAGATAAAAATAAAAATATCCATTGGTGGTGTAGAATATAATGTACATGTATGTACCTGTATGTGTGTAAAATGTTTCAAGCCCCTTGGATGTTCAGCAAAAAGTTTCAATTTCGCGGAGCTCACCGGTCAGTGTCTCATCGGGTTACCTAGAGGCGAATCACTCTCGTGAGACGTGATTTGCTTTGACGAGATAAGAGATATCTATAAATATCATCGATACCGGGGCTGCTTTTTTGGATTAAGGATATTCGTTAGGGTAAGTGCCATCGAGATATAATACTTGTTATGTATTTTTTATTTTTTTTACTGTTCATTGTGTTTCACAGCTCACTGACGAGTGAGGGGGAGTAATTTGTAGGTGCATTAAATTCACTCACGGGGAAAACGAGGGAGTTTTTTCCTGCAACGGGAAAGTAAAGCTTACACAGCGGAAAAAAAGTTATTCGTTGATAAATTTTCCATCAATCTGGTGGAAAACTTTTTTTAAAGTTACAAATTGTGTGCTTGTGTAGTAATAATAGACTCGTTAAAAAATATAATAATAATAATAATTTAATTTTTATTTTAATAACTATTTAGGACATTTTTTATAAAATATTAATAAAAACTATTTAAAAAATAATTTTTGAAAAAATTTTTAATAAAAAGAAATTTATCCATAAATTTTTATATTTATCATTATTTCAGTGAAATTTTTAGAAAATATCAACAAATAATATTAGTTTTTACTATAAATAAAATTGAAATTATTCATTTTAAGTGCAGTAGGATAATAAGAGTAATATAGATTTAATACATTCTCAAATAATTAAACTATACACAATATACTCTTTGTATTTATTTATGTTAATTCTAAAGCATTACTCTGACTATTAATCTTAAGTACTAAATCACTTTAAATTACTTAATTATCTTAAAGTAGACTGAAATTATTCCTTCAGTAAAATAAATGTTACAATTATTTAAAATGTTTAATTACATTTTTCTTTAGAGTAAAAATTATCATTTTTTGTTAAAATTTAAAAGAAAATATACTTTAATAATTTTTAACATAAAAACTTGTTGATAAAATTATATATTTTACATTTTACCCCAATCACTTCTCTGTAAAGACTTTGAGTTATTAATTTTGAATCTTACTTCAAAAATAATAAAATTTAATCAAATTTACTTTTAAATTAATTTGTATAAATTGGTTTATTTTATCGAATCTAATATTTTTTTCAAATTCGTAATTAAGTAATTAATTTTTTTAATCAAAGGAAAAATTTAATAGATATTTACGTCACAAGAATTTATAAAAGTTCAATATTTTATGAGTCCAAATAATCACAATAGTCAAAAATATTTCCCAATACGAAGCGAGAAATAATGTAAAATTTATATGTTCCGTGTAGTCAATGCATAATCAATACACATATTTTATATTACGCCATGTATCATATTATATAGATGTATATATTATCCCATCGGGTTTACTAGTACTGTTACAACATCAAGTTACTCTAAAACTAATGGAACATTATTTTTCGCACACGCAAGTCGACAGTTTTTCATAAAAAAATAACATAAAAATTTTTTTTATTTATTCGCTCGATTTATAGATATTATATTTCATTTTAATTAAAAGTGCCAAAGTATTTGCGTTTCAATAATAATATAAAGCCGATATTAATTGCCAATTATCATTTATCAATTATGAACATTTCTGTTAGCTTAATATAATTTGACAAATGTAGATTTAATGATATAATATAATTTTGTCAGTTTGATAAAGAAAAAAAAAAGTGAAAAATTAATTAATACTAACTTAATTTTAATGGACTCCCATAACGATGCAAAATAATTCATCAATTAAGATTGTCAAGTATGAATTATTCAGTAATCCAACCCGGACGAATTCACCGGCGTTAATAAGCAATTAAATTAAGCTACCATGAATAGAAGCATAGATTCAAATGGATTCAATGCGAAGAGCTTTTACGTCCTCGTCAATCCTAACTGCTTTCAAACCAATTCGCATAAATGCCTGATAATAATTATCGCAAATTATCTCGAGGACAAAATAGTTGGTACAATTTGTAATCTGTTTCAATACTCGATTAATTATTAATCTATATAGTTTATAACTGAAATTTTGTGATTTTTTTTTTTTTTTAAGTATTGGATTTCGGACGTCAATATCACGAATAAAGGCTTTAATTTAGGCAAAGTAAAATAGAGTTTTAAAGAGATAGTATGGGGTTGGGAGAGACCAGAGAGGTCGAGATAGTACAGGATTTCAGCCACTCAAGATGGATGGAAGTCTATCTATTCGATAATTATTGGCAAACTGGGTTCAAGTTTACGGGGAACTTGATAGTTCTTTAATTGCCTACTAAACTTTTTAATTAATTTTATCATCTTTCTATCCAGATACTATTTTATTTAATTAATTATTATTCAATTTATTATTATTAATAATAATAATAATTATTATTATTTTTAGTGAAATTTAATGTCATTACAAAGGTTTTGACTTAAATTTTATCATTCTCACCGATAGTTAATTTATTATGATAAGTATTTAGGTGGCATTCGAAAATACTCTATCTATAGATACATAATTAAGAAGTGACCTTGTATCTTGTGAACTATTAACATTTTTAAAGATGTAAGCTCTCCCCGACATTACACTCATCGAGACCTTTCATTTGAGTACCCACATCAATTTTTCATATATTTTATATATTTATATATGTATATATGAAAAATATATCAAAAATGCATGTGGGTACTCAAATGAAAGCTCTTGATGAGTGTAACATCAGGATGAGCTTATATCTTTAAAAAAGTCAATAGTTAAGATGGTACAGTACATTTTAACAAAATTCATTATTTAATGAAGCAAAATTTTATTTCTTTATAGTTCACAAATCACGTTATTATTATTATGATCAAATAAAAATTTCCAAAAATCCTTAATAATTATTATTAAAAATTTAAGAGTAAAATTTCATTTTAAAATATTGAAATAATAATAATGAAAAAATTTTTTTTATCTGTTCAAGGTTTCTGAATAAAGCAAGCAATCGGAGGAAATAAAAATGGTGCAAAGAAAATTTTCAGTTTAGAAAATCGAATGATACGCCCTGGTGAATAATTTCACTTGCCCTTTTCTCAGAGTATCACGTAAGCACGATAAAACTTTTTCCGTACTCTCAAGAGACTATTTTTGGATATATTCTAACATTTTTCTCAACTTTTTTATACGACACATCTATGAAAAGAAATATTTATTCTAGTCAACAGTTGGAATGCTTTATATAAAATTAAATTTTATTAAAAAAAAAAAAAAAAATCTTTAGGTAAGAAAATACAAAATAAATATTTAATCTTCTAATCACCTGTTTGCTGGTATTCGGAGAATTTAATATCACATTAAGCGTAAAAATAAAATAAATAAAAACTCAAGTCTAATAACATTCAAGTTTAAGACAGAAAATAAAATGATTGAGTGAAGAAAAAAAAAAGGCAAAGCAAGGAAAAAATGATGGCAAGATAAAAACGGATTCGTGTAATGTCTCATTTTGAACGGCCAGAGGACACGCATTTATTTTCAAGAAGAAGAAGAGTTCAAATAAATAAAAAAAAGCACGTTGAGGTAGTAACGATAAAATAAAAAATATATCCTATGAGTTATAGTTTATCCTGACTTTTTTTATCGAATAATAAAGACGAAAACATTGACGGCAAGTAAAAAGTCAACGTCACCAACAGACGAGAATAAATATAAAATAAAGTAGATCCACATACTATTCTCTACTAGCGTAATTTATTTTTCACAGTCTCATTTGTTCCTTCCATTTTATTTAGATTGGAAAATTTTTACTTTTTACTCTCTACTTTTCTCGACAAATTTATAAATGAGAAAAACGTTTGATAACATAATCTCGTTTAAAGTCAATCAAACTAATTAAAAGGATTGCGTAATATGTTTTGTTCCATTCAATGGTATTAATGTTTGTAATTATTTATTTATAAAAAAGAGAGGATGAAAATAAAAGATAAATATGGTGGGATGGGATCTGATGAATCTAGGTCATATAAAATTTTAAAGGGATTTTATACGAATGAGAGAGTAAAACCCTTGTATTCAGTAAATATAATTTTAAGAGTTTACTCGTATTTATTAATTACGTAAGCTCCATCAACTTCTTGGTTCATAAATTTTATGGTGTTATATTTAAATAAATTATAAGCTTGGTAATTGTTCTTTCATAATTAATTCTTAATAATCTTAATGATTTTTTCTTAAAAGGCTTTCAGTTTCTTAGTTATATAAAAAAAATTAACTGTCAGAAACTTTCAAAAAACTGACAGTCTTTTAATGTATTTGTTGTGAGTTTAAAACAAAAAAAAAAAAAATTTTGACCGTCTAATTATTTATAAATAACGGATTAAAGTTCATTAATTTATGAAAAAGTATATATCTACGGAGTCGGACAGAAGCAATTGTATGAGTCTTGCGTAAAAATTATGGATTACTTAACTACAAGCTCATATACTTTTGCGGCGCGTATAATCTCTAATTATTTGACAAAATTATACCATAAAAACTATTTAAAACCAGGAAAAATTTCTCAGTTCAAGAATTTTTCATCTTGATTCACGATAATAAAATTTTTCAAAATGATTTTCTTGGATCAAGAATATTTCTCTTGAATGAAGTTAATTTTTCCAGGCTATTTAAATACACGTACATCACAAAAATATAATTTATTTTTATCAAAACTACATTTTTCAAGCAAAACTACAAACCACTAACCTTGAACTCTAATTATTTCCAGGAAATCGTTAAAAAAATAAGAACAATGGACGAAGAGTTGTCAATATCACTGGTAATAATCCTTATAATCGGTGGATTAATGATAACAGCCTTACTAACTTGCTACGCGTGTATATTCCGCGACCTGTGTTGCCAAAAAGTCGATCGCGCTAAACGCCGTCGCGTATGCAGAAGTCCAGGAGGCTCTGGAGAACTTGGACAAAACCGACACGATATGATCCATATGAACAACATGATTCAGCTGAACGATATCACCCAAGGCGACAGCATGCCTACGGAGACTGAAAACATCTGATACTTTCCAAGATATTTATAAATAAAACTGTACTGAAATAATAAATCAAATTATTAACAATATTTAAACTATATATATATATATATAGATATAGATATAGATATATTTTTTGTACATAAATACACTTAATTGTTTCCCAATTTAGTTTAATAGTTAAATATTATAATTGACTTGTTCTTATTTCTAGCGGCGTAAAATCCGCACCCTGATAGTTATTTAATCATCACTATGATATTTTTATTGGTAACTTTTATTCTAGCCACTAAGGCAATTATTTGATTGATTAATTAATTAATTAAACAATTAATTAATTTTGGAAGATTAATAGTAAAAGTAAATATATGATTTCAGTAAACGACTAGCTAATTCGGTTGTGCAATTGTTGGAGTACTGAACGCACAACTTCATGTAATGTCTGAAAAAAAAAAAAAAAAAAAAAAAAAAAAAAAATCAATAATCAATAAAACGATAAAAAAATTATTTTAAATTAATAAAAAAAATTACTTGAGGTTTGCAGTGCTCCTCTAACCAACTGAAGACAGAACCCGATAATTCATTAAAGTTAGCAACTGAAATGTGATTAAAGCTTTGGAATAATTGATCCATTATACTCTGAAACTAATTACAGACTGTTAATTAAGTAAATTTAATATTAAATCTCTTGATGTTAAATTAATATTCAATTTATGTTCTTACAACTTGGAACTTAGTTTCATCGGACACTCGCATCTCGGTGTAGTTCGGCTGAGTCTGATGAGCTTTGACTATCTGCTCGTAATTAGCCTCCATGATACGTAAAGCCAGAACCTCTTTACGCAGTGCATTGCGTTCCTCTTCCTGCTTCTTCTTTTGCTGCAGCAGAAACTGAATGTAGTCGATAGACTTCTGCAACACCGTCGCTTTGGAAAGCTTGTAGCCAGATGAGTCTGAATGTTGACATGATGGAACCAAGTCCTGAAGGGAGTCGTACCCTTTTTTTATTGCATCACGTCGTTTCTGCTCGGCTTGGGTGTGAGCTTCTCGGCGACGCTCTTTGTAGCTTATTGTTGAGTTTTTGTTATCGCTGTCTTCATCTTCTGGAATTAATTTTGGTTTTAATTCAAAAATTTCAACCTGATTATTATTTAGGTGAAATATAAAATTATGTGTTTTAATCATAAATTCGTATGAAAATTAAGTTAGCCGACATTAAAAAATTTTTATAATTTTTTTTTTATTGAAAAAATCATTACAAAAAAATAAAAAAAAAATTGCACGTCTAAAAAACTTCAAAAACTGTAAGTGCAATTTTAAAAAAAATTTTTTTGTTCTGGATTTGATTATTAAAAAAAAAATCAAAAAATTTAGAACGTCGGCTAACTTTAATGACATTAAATTCGTTATTTGTTTAAAATAAAAATAAAAAAAAAAAAAATTCAATGATTTATTTATTAATAAGTAATGATTTAATTATTAATATTTACCAGTATTATGTGCTGATGACGACGGTGTGTGCAATGAACCAGTACTATTACATCTTGAAAAAACATATCGTTCTGTTGGACTTGATGGTTCCAACTTCATATCACTGTCAGAACCATTGCCACCATTTGTCAAACTCTTCATTGTTCCTTCTAAAACAATTTTTTTATTTTAGTACGTTATACAAATGAAAATTTGTTTATTTTTAATGATACTGACAAACTTCAACAAACATTTGACAATTTTTATTATCAAGTAGATTACAACAATGAAAATTTAAAAAAATTCCACTTGTAGAAAATTTTAAAAAACTATGAATAAACTTTTTTAAAAATATTGTCATAATTATTTAAGTAAAACTAAAAAATAGTCAAGTGTCTGCTGATTTTATCAACATGATTTTTTAAATTAAGATAAAAAAAAAAACCATGTAATTTTCCATAAGATTAAAAAAATAACCTCAAAAAAAAATACTCACGGATTTCGTGCGTTTCTTTTATACTATCGGCCATAATTAATTATTTAACAATTAATATATATTACTACTTAATTATCAAAATCACCGAAAAATACTTGCACAGTTAAAAAACGGAAGATGATGAAAACAAACAAAGAAAATGAAGGAACTAAAATGTTCATAAAAACATCGATCGCGACAATTATCTCGGAACTAATTAAGACGGATTACATCAAGGACATTGTCTAGAAAGTAAATAAATAGTAATGGTTGTGATAAAGTTAATCACATATGTCACGAGTATTTTCAGTAATTATTATGATTATAAAAATAAAATATATGTTTCGCAAGACCTAACGGGGCCATTTTATATACTTGGTGTGGTTATTAAAAAATTAGAATTGGAAAGTGTAAAAGGAATATTTCTTACCGACTGAATGATTGCTGCCTTATCGGTGATTTTACTTACTGATGACAGCGACACTTATCAACTCGTATTTATTTATAATACACACATACCCCTTTTTTTTATATAAAAAAAAAAATTACAAGTAAACAGTAAACATTAGTTATATGTGTTAATCACCTTGATCTAACATTTTGATAATTCTCACTGCCAATTAATGACTTAACTAAACAAATAAACTTGACCAAACAGTTATTTTAATAATAAAATGATGTAGTGTCACACGTGAAATGTCTTAACCATGGCAATTAAATCATATTTTAAGTATGTTTACTATTTCAAATCACTTGGTGCATGCATCGTTATCTTTGGGTACGTAAAAAATATTCATTAGATTATATGACACTAAAATTAGCAGACACATGATAATTTTTTATTTTTATTTAACAAACAAATTTGATCCAAAAAATTATTTTTAGAAAATTGGATTTTTAATTTTTTACATCTCAATTTTTTTGCCATAATTTATTTGTTAAAAATATTTTTAAAATTATGAAATATCTGCTAAATTAATTTTAATTCTAGAAAACTATTTTTAAAAAATTGCATTTATAATTTTTTGGAGCTTACAAAAATGAAATTTCTTAAATAAATTTTTCTTGCTCTAATTTATTTATTAAAAATCCTCAGATGTCTTTCAATTTCAGTATCATAAAATTAATAATTCTAGAATTAATAAAAATAAATTTTTTAGTGGCTCCTGGTTTGTCTACAAAGTGCGAGAGACATCACAAATCCTACGATCAACCGTCGCTACCAATGTGCTAAATCTAGAACATACTCAAGCTCAGTATATTTATTTAGACTCTCATCAAGAAGGTATTTAAATCGGCCATATTTTTCACTAATTTAAATTCATAAATTTTATTAATTTATCTAATTAAAAAAAATGTACAATTTACAACGCAGATATTTTTATCTACAATAGTGACGATCCAGTGAAAAATAAGGGAACAAGTCTTTTGGGTATTGTGACCAGGTGGTGGAAATCATTCAATCAATCAATCGCGTACAGATACTTAAATGTCGCGAAGCATGGAAGCAAGTATACACGAACACGCGCTGTTCATGATCTAGGAGCTATGAAGCATCTCCAACCCTGGGTCTGTCAACAGATAGCTCAAATGATGGATTCAAGAACGGCGGTGGCTCTCGCGAGGATCGCTGACTCGGACCTACGGCTTTTTCTCAAGCCGCCTCATCATTGGGTTGATAAAAAACTGTACGAAGTAATTGATCAGTTGCACCAACTTCTTGTTGATATGGATAAGCTTTGTCAATCTAGTCATTCGTGTTTGACGCAGTTTATCAGCAAGAAATTTTACAGTTTTCGGGTAAGTGTTGTATGTTTAAGAAAAAAATTTTTTAAGTCAAATAAATGAATCTTTAATCTGCAGAAAAATTTAGAGTTTGATCACGAGTTGTCCAGCATTGATTTCACCGCAACACCCACGATAAGTTGGGACGAGCAGTTACTGACCCAGTGTATCGAAGCTATTTATCATCACACGGCAATCGATCATTTCAGCCGAGACCTTGCGAACGCGCGAGGACTGTCAGTTTTGATGGAAGTCAAAAAGAAGTTCAATGACAATGTAGACGTGTGTGTTTTGCTGGCTAAAATAATATCCAATTTGTCATTGTATACCGAGCTGGTGGATGATATCTTTCGCTCAGGCTGGATCGGAGTTCTTGCTGCCTGGTCACGACACAAAGACATCAGACTCGCTGGACCCGCTGCGAGAGCTTTGTTTAATATGGACGTCGATGCTAATAATGGAGAAAAATTCCCCAGAAGAATTTATCTGCTGCATCCGATGAATAGAACCAGGTCCAAGGCCAACGTTGATGTTATTTTTATTCATGGACTACTTGGTGGAATTTTTATTTCTTGGAGACAGCGAGATCCTGATTTGACACTTAAATCCGTAGGTTTGTTAATTATTTTTCAGTGAAATAGTTTTATGAATCAATGCCAGTGATAGTTTAAAAGAAAAATTTACCTTTTAGATTCTATGAAAAATGATAATGAAGATTCATTGATCAATATAGTTAAAGAATACCCTCAGGAATTTTTTGAAGACTTAGCTCGTGATTTACAAGTTAGAGATTGGAAAAAAACAGGTCATGATTATGAAGTGATATTAGATGATTGTCCAGTTTCAATGAATTCACTTGCAGCTGGGCCATTTACTTGCCCTGGGTAATTAATTATTATTTTCGATTTTTAAAAATTTTTTTAAGTGAAAATTTTTCTCAATCACCTCAAATTTTTTCGTCCATATCGATTAATTTTCCGAAAATTTTTAGTTGAATGTCAACAATCCAAAAAAAGTTTCACTTGCATAAGACCACATAATATTTTTTTTTTTTGTAATTGTAACATATTAAATAAATTTTTCCAGTAATGAAATTTGTACTGAATACCAAGGAATTGATTTAACAAGAACAGAGTGTTGGCCAAAAGACTGGTTACCTAAAGACGTGCCATCAATCCGCGTAATTGGAATTAATTACGATACCAGTTTATCTTTATGGAGTCTTCCATGTCCAATAGAAGTTCTAAAGTAAATTATCACTTATAACTTAAAATTAAATAGCTCGTAAATTTTAATAAATAAATAATTGCAGAAGTACGATAAGTGAAAGAAGTCTAGAGTTTACCAAGAAACTAGTCACTGCTGGCGTGGGAAAACGTCCCATTATTTGGGTCTGTCATTCAATGGGAGGTTTATTGGTGAAGCAAATGCTCGTTGAAGAATCAAAGACCGGCGATAAGCATCACCTCTGTGATAATACCAAAGGAATTATTTTTTATAGCACTCCTCACCGTGGATCTCACGTTGCGGCGCTTAAACAGACTACGCAGATGCTTCTGTGGCCTTCCATTGAAGTTCAAGAGCTAAGAGAAGGTAGCTTATTAGAAATTAGTCATCTTCGTCTGTATTTATTAAATTATTTGTAATTAATAAATTGTAAAAATAATTTTAGAATCTCCACAGCTTCTGAAACTTCACCAGGAATTTAAAACAATGCTTGATAAGTACAAAATGGAGATAGTGAGCTTCAGTGAAACAAAACCGACGTTTGTAAGTGCGATGAAAGTACCTCTGCAAATTCAATTTGTTTTGCCGAAATCAGCAGACCCAGAAGTAGGCGAATTTTATGAAATACCTCAGGATCATTTGTCGATATGCAAACCAGCAAGCAAACACTCGTTTTTGTATCGCAAAGTTGTTGATCTTTTAAAAAAAAATCTTACCAAAAATAATTAAATACAAATTGTAAATTGAATGTATATTTTTTTTTACTTATAATTAGAGTGAAAGGTAATTTATAAATTGAGTTAAAAAAAAAAAAAAATAAATAATTATAGTATGTTAATTTTTTATATTTTTTTAGACAAACGGTTCATTAAAAATTAGTGTCGTAATCGGGCGGATGGCGTGAAAAATTAGCAGTACTTTCGTAACCGGCGAACTTGCTGCTTGTGTGAGATGGCTGATAGTAATAACCGTTCCAGTCAGATCTCCAGCTGTCATAGACATTGTATTTTTCATTGTCGGGCACGATACCGTCCATTAAAATCTAAAAAATATTTTGCAAGTTCCATAAAAAATTTAATTACTAATTCTATTCCCATTCATTCAATTTTTTTAGCAATTCATTTTATGCAATTGACCCAGGTGATGCAATTACAAAAGATATGTTATGTTACCTTATTTGAATTTGACTCAAAGGATTTTTCCTTCCATGCTTCGGGCTCGTTCCAGATCGTTGAGATTTCCGACTTCGGATACTCGTGCGATGATCTATGGAAGGACGCTACATGACTTGAGTGTATTATATTTTTAGCTGCTTCTTCTCCGTACATTCCGGATGTTGGTGGCCTCAACTTTGATGCATTTTGCCGATTTAAAAGCTGTAAATTTATTTATTTTAATTTTAATTAATGGAACATTATTTTTTTTCGGTGAGATAATTATTAAGACTTACAACAGAGACTCCAAAAATAATAATAAACAATAAACCACCAACACCAATAACAATAACAGCAACAGCCCACTGTGGAATCAGTCTGTCGTCCCTCTCAATTTGCTGCGGCAAGGTAACTCTGGGTATCACTACAAAGTCAGTTGACTTGGGATCAATTACAAAGTTTCCCAATCTCACTGGACCTTTGTTTATCTTCGTCTCGTTCCATTTATGAGCATTATAAGCCCTCAGCGAGTCGTGGAACAATACTTTCAACTCCTGAGTATTTATCTTTTGGCTCAAATCTTGGAGTTCTACAAAATAGTCTACCAAAATGCTTCCCTGGCTAAAAGCGTCGATACGTATATTTTTGTACCATTTTCTCAAGATCGCAGACTTAAGGAACACCAAGTTCATCTGTAAATTATTATAATTATAAATTAATAATGATGATTTTATTACAATTTATTCCTAAGTATTATATAATAAAATACGTTGTTTTAATCAAATTTTTTAATACATTTTTCAATAATAGCCAATTTTTTATTTTAAGTTTTTGGAGAAGTATTATCCAAATAATCAGATCCCAGAAAATTATATTATTAAAGGTTCAGGTTAATACAGATCTATTATTTATTCTTGTGTTAATTTATTTTATCCAATTCAGCAACGTTTCGTTACGTATCGTAACTTCCTCAGGCTTCTAATAACAAACATACATAATATAAATTAAAATTAAAGTCTTTTACAACAAAATTTACATCTAAAATAAATTAATAAATTACAAAAATTATACCTTGAAATAAGTTAATTATTTAACACAACTGTCAATATAATAATAAATGTAGCATTACTTTTGGCTAGGTTTTTGGAGAAGTTTTGAATAGTTTTTTGATTCTATAAATTTGTTCCGTCACATCGCGTAAATTAGAACACTAATATATCCCAATTATTATTATTATTATTATTATTATTATTATTATCAAATAAAAATTTCCAAAAATTCATAATAATGATTTTTTTGCAAAATTTTGTGTGAAATTTAAAGTTAAAAAATTAAAATAATAATAACAATAATAGTAATAATAATTTCTGTATAAAAAAATCTAACCAACCTCTTTTTCAATTTCATCAGCCAGCAATTGCCACTCTTTCGTATTGCGATCCAGGAGTTCCGGAACCCAAGTAGCATTATCAATGATCCGAATAGTACCAGCAACTTCACAATCTTCTTCACAGAGTCCGGGAGTAGTAGGTCGAATCGTCGTGGTGGTGGTCGTCGAAGTCGAAGTAGTTGAAGGTTCACTAGTCGACGTGACAATTGAAATATTACCAGACGTAGCAGTTGCGGTTCTGGCAGCTTCAAGCAATTTCTCAATAGAAATCGGGGTAGTCGAAGGTGTTGGCCACCCAGTGAACTCCGTAGTAGCCCTAACTGGCCAGCCCCGTTGAATTTTAGGAGTAACAGCGGTTGGTGCGTCAGCAGGTCGACTAGTAGACGCCGCTTTGGCTATCGCTTTCCTACCACCAGGTCTGCTGGGAAACACTAGCTTAATACCTTTGCTAGTAGTACTGGCTTCAGTAGTACTCATAATAACTTCTTCAACTTTTTCTTTTTCTTTAAAACCAGGAGGTAGCAAAGCGGAAATATCAACGCTAGACTTGGAGAACAATTCTTGCAAGCTCTTTTGTATCGGCGTACCAGATGTCGTCGTGGATGTCTCAGACTTGGTTGGATTTTTTTTGAAATCTGGAGGCAAGAAAGCGCTGATGTCAACGCTCTTTGCAAACAAATTCTGCAAAGGGAGTTCCTTAGTTAGCTCAGTGCTCTCCGGCTTGCTGGCTACTTTAAAGTCTTTGGGCAGCAGTGCCGAGATATTAACACTAGACTTAGCAAGTATATCACTGAGAATAGTCTTCTCAGTGGTCTGATCTTCTTTTTTTAATTTATAACCCGCCGGTAGGAAAGCGCTGATGTCCTGAGCTTCAACCCTGACCTTACTGAGCGGTTTTCTGGTGGTCTTCCTCGTGGGCTCTGTCGTGGTAGTGACTCTAGTTCTTGCAGAACCCGGCCAAGGTATTCGGAAGGGCTTGGGCTTGTCAGCACTAAGACTAGCCGCAGGCTGATCATTCATTTCCACACTCGTAATTTCTTTAATCTCCAAACTCTCCGTAGTCTTCGCAGCCTCAGTAGTCTCTGGGGACTTACGCCGTGGAACAAATTTGCTGATCACCGGGGCTTTGGTAGAAGTCGTGGTATAAGTTTTCCGTGTGGGTCTCTGCTCACTCAGGACATCCAGCTGCAGAGCGTTTCCAGCAGTTCTGAATCCTCCAGTCAGAAATCCACTCGAAAGTTCTGATTGCACGCGATCCAGCTTGTCGATGATACTTTCCGTCGACTCAGCGACTGTTTTGTTGACTTTGCTGTCATCTTCTTGATCATGATCATCAGAATCATCTTTGCTTTCTTCATTAGTATTAATATTTTTGCTAACCGCGTCGTAATTGTTGACATTGAAAGGCAAATACCTGGCTCCGGAAATACTGCGACTGGTCTGAACGGAAGCGACGATCATCGCGTCTTCTGTTGTCTCTTCAACAGCTTCTGCAGACGAATTACCTGTCGGAGGTGGTGACATTTGCTCCGTTGTCATTGGTGGTGCTGTTGGTACCGAGTATGTCCCATTGACAACACTCTTGGTAGTGACAACAGACACCACTGCTTCGCCTATCAGAATACTTTCATCGTCATCATAAATATTAGGCGAAGAAACATTTAAATTTATTTTTTTATCATCATTGACTATCTGTTCTTGACTTTCAGCTACTTCATCTTGACTGTTGACTGCTTCTTGACTCTCAACAACTTGTTCATGACTATGGATTGCTTCTTTGCTTGCTGATTCATCATCGTATGTGTCATATTCTGAAATTAATTGATATATTAATAGAGATTGTTTACCTTTTTTTAATCTATAAATTTTTATACGTCACTATTTTTTAGTATGTCACGGATATTATCAAGGTTTAAATTTAACAAGGTAATTATTAATAAAATTCATTATTTTACACGGTATGAGTCTTAAGAGTTGATTAAGTCAAAAGACGCTACCGGATACGCGCAATAACAATAAATGGAAGAAAATAAAAGTTAAATAAAACCGTGGGATTTTTTACCTGCCGCTTGAGAATTTGTCGCATTATCATAATCATCGTAAAATTCAACTTCGTAGTCACCAGGAACTTCCTCTTTTGTTTCATAATCTTTAATTTTTAAATATACATGTATGTATAACTTTGTTTTCAGATTAAGAACAATAAATAGTAATTAAGTTATTCAACTTACGGATTTCTCTTGTCTCAATTTCTTCTCTCTCGGGAGTCTCTTCATAGTCATATTCTTCATTGACGTCTACTTCTGCAGGTCGCAGATCATTATTTCTTTTATTATCATTATTATTATTGTTATTGTTATTAATATTAATATTGCTATAATTATTGCTATTATTATTATTACTATTAATATTAGATTGCGCTACCGCTTGGTTCTGTCCATAAACAGAATTTGTTGGATACAAACGACTCCATGTTCTGATTTCTGTAAAATAAAAAATTATTTTATAAATTTTGAATATTAAATTTTTCAATATCAATACACTTTTACATTCTGCAGCAAAAATAATTTAAAAAAAAATTTTTTTTGGTACTTTAATTTGTCAGATTAAAAATTTTTTTAAATTGACAAAACCGAACTCAATGACACCCAAAATAAGTTGATTGATTTTTTTTTATTTTATATTTTTAATCTAAAAAATTTTAATTTCAAAACAAGAAAAGTATGGAATTTTTTTTTTAGTTATTTCGAATGAAATAAACAATTAACAAAATAATTTTCCAAATCTATCGTAATAAAAAAAAAAAAAATTAACAAATTAATTTTTCAATTTGTTATGCTCAAAATACGGTGAAGCCTCACACCTAAACGATTACCAAGAAAAAAAACAGTAAATTTATTCATACGTTCATAAACTACTTCATTAAAAATAAAAAAAAATATAAACAGTTTGACTTTAAAAACATGATTAGTTCCAGTAATAATAACCAACAAAAAAATGATTATTAAAAATAAATATACCGAATAAATTAGCATAAATATCGAGCAGGAAGTGCTTTCTAACTGTAAACTATGTACTTATAAGTCTTACATTTATAAATCCGTATGGTCATTGGTCGCCGTGACCAAAAGGTGGTCAGCAAGTAATGTAAAAATATACAGAGATCTTGACATCACACTTTAACAATTAATATTATATTTTAATGATAATGTTATTAAAAATGAAGAATAATTAAATTTCTAATGTTTAAAATAATAATATTGAGAAATAAGCTCGCAAATCGGGGCCTGCAGCATAAATATAACACGAGAGCCACTCTCTTTTCAGCTGGCCTTCGTTTTAACATGTAATAACCCAGTTCATACAATCCGAGCAACAATATTCTTTGTCCAAAATAATTCATTTCTCATAATTCATAATCCTTAGTACATAATACCCAGTCAATAATTATAATTAAAAAATAATAAAAATTACCTTGCGCATGAGTATCGACAATAAATAACAAAAGAAGCAAAGTAACATTTCGCAATATGACATCCGAGTGCATTATAAGCTTCATAATTCACAGCCTGACAAAATGTTGATGTGAAAAGCCACCCTGGGCTTTATTTTAGATAATTTTATACACCGCCCAAGGTGTCCAATCAATTTAACACTCGATGAATCCACTTTATTCACGCATTTTACCTCTCGACCATACTTCAGTGTCCCAGCACAAAAACTCTGATATTTAAATTTCTTCTCAAAATATTCAAAATTGCCCTTTAAATAATTATTAATTTTGAGTAATTAAACAAAATAATGAAGCATCGATGCATTTTACTGGATCTAGCAACATATTTGTCACTGGTACAAAATAAACTGATAGGTAGAAAGCAAAATCCTACTTTCACTCGTGGATACCACCGAGTGTTGAAGCTATGCAGGCACGTTGTTGCGAGAGGTATTCCGAGGCCGCCAACAGGACCAGAATTGTTGGTGTAACAGTGTTGGTGAGCGTATAAACCAGTGTGGTATACAATATACTGGTGTATAGCTACAATAATATAATATATAAGTAAAAGACCAACAAGTAAATAAAAGTATAAGTAGAAGGGGCATAAGCGGGCCCGACGTTTACTGGTTCAGCCTTTTTACACTACCTTCTTGCTTCTTACATCTGAAGGTGAGTGGGAGACCGCTCGTTTCGTTTGCTTGAATAAAAAATAAAAATTGTCGCGTGTCCGCATCCCTCTTATATTAAAGACTCAAGTTAAGAGCTGCTTTTCCGTCTTGCATTGGTGTGGTTATCTGTTAAGGACAACCTGGACTGACCTGGAGCGCAACTGAGCTGGGACTTGATACAAGCCATTGCCATTGCACGGAAGTTCGTTCACCCACGCTGCTAAGACTTCACCCTTTCCAGTGTTTATTTTTAAACACATACTTTTCGACGGCCTCCTCGAGGACATCCAGTTGTCCTGCATCCTATCGCCGGATGTTTATTTCTTTTTTTTTGCTTCAACTCTTTTACTTCTTAGCCTTCTTTTTGTTACTTAATTATTATACTGGTAATAGTTAAGTATAGCAGTAGGGTTTTCACTTTCAAAGGCTGGAAAATTCCACCGGGCGTGTGAATCAAGTGAAAACGTGGTCTTTGTGCTCGATCTGGTTACCGTTAATGTTTACTTACAGAGTAGAGCTAGACTAGACTGCAGTCGACATAAAAATAACGGAATGACTCCTTTTTTTTTCCTTTAATGTCCTCCCGGATCCTGTTTGCTGGTGGATACTTCGCGGAACTTTAAGGGAATGCAGGCTCAAGGTTTTCAAGTCTGACTGCATCTTGTGTTCTTAAAATTTAATTAAATATTAAATTAAATACGTTAATTATTATTAAGAGCAAAGCATAAATATTAAGTACAATTGTAGAAATAATTGTAGAAAAAAAAAATTATTATTAATATTAATATTATTATTAAGAACCTAAAATTACATGACAATGGTGGGCTTTACTTAATAACGTATTTATTTATTTATTTAAAATCAAAACTTTCATCTATATATATATATATATATATATAAAGTTGGTGATTTGGTGTTTAGTTGGAAGTTTTGTAAGTAGATTAGCTGTAACAATAAAAATATAAATAGTAAATTAATCATCGGTAAAAAATGTTCGGTATGAAAGTAAATGTAAATATAAACATACTTGGTCGTAGGTCTACGAGAAGGTTCCGAGGCTGTAGGAGGCGGTGGTGGGCCTCTACGTGCCAGTTCTTCAAGGTAACCCATAAGTAACCTCGTGCGTTCAGCTGCTGCGGCGTCTAACACTAAAAATCTCCTGTCTTTCTTCAGAATGTCTTCTATCTCTGTCAAACATGCACTGTTTTCTTGGACTTTTTTGTACGTTTTGTCAGTTATTAACTTTGTTTCCTGCAGCAGCTCACGGAAGTCCGCTTTCGCAGCCACTAATTTATCTTTAATGTACTCTTTGAATTCTTTTTCACATTTCTAAATGGAGAAAAAATTTTTGAATTAAAATTCAACTTAATTGGAGGATCGGAACATAAGAATAGAACTCTTGTTAATGTGATTGTAAATTCTATATAGATGATGATTGTTAAAAGTTAATATTTTATATTGCCTGCAATATTGGCCGCCAAATGTACTATATTGAATGTATTTGTAATATATACTAGCTTCTATGTTATGTGTACAATAATTGTAATAGAACTCTGTAATTGGCTTAAAGCTGTTGAATTCATTATTCTTTAAATAAATAAATAATTATTACAATATATAATTATAACAACTTACCCGATCGCTAGATGAAAATTTAGTATATCTAGGATCGTCTTTGAGTAATTTTTTGATATCTTTCCACGAAGCCGTGAGCTCTGTAGACGCGCCGACTTCGTCCAGTAACTCCCGGAACTTGTCACGTTTCTTACGGCCAAGCTGCTCAATATGTTCGTTAAATAATCGCTCCTTTTCCTCGCGATCTAAGCTATCAGCGAGCTCCCATCTATGATCTTTTCTCAATTGACGTTTAGCTTCCCTCCATGCTAAGTCTCCATTTCTCACCTATTTCATTTGTTGAAAAACAAAAAAAAAAATTTTTTTTATTAATTAAAAATTTTCAAAATTTTTTTTTAGAGAAAGTTAATAATTATAAAAATATTTTTAACAAGGCATCATTTAAACCTTCTTAAAGAAATTATCTATAATTGATGTATGAGATTTCTCGTCGGATGCTTTTTTTCTTCTCATTAGTATCAATTTAGATCAACTAATTCATATCAACGTAGTCGAAAGTATTTAGAAAGTAAGCGATTGGAAAATAATGAATAAAATATAATTAAAATTGAAAAAATTTGCAGAAACATGTCTTTAGTAGAGTTTCATATAACGATCGTGTTTACGATATCATTTCGTAAGCTTTTTTTACAAAATAAATATCCGTTGAAATAATTAATAAAGCAAAAATAAAACTTACTAAATCAGCAAGTAATGCACTAAAATGCTGTACAGCCTCTGTGTGTCTATGATGTTGTCTCTCCTTATCACGGTCTCTTAAATGTGTGGCCAAAGTTCTCTGAACTTCGCGTTCTCGCTCCCGCAAACTAGCTTCAGCTCTTCTTTCTCGATCACGTTTTTGTTTCTCACGATCTTCTTCCGAGTCTGAGTGATCATTATTTTCATATTTCTAAAAAAAAAAATTTTTAAATAAAAAACTAAATAAATAATAAAAATAAAAAATACATACATCTTTTTTTTTGTCATCAAGATCCTCAATCTCTCCGATTTCTTTATCGACATCCTTCTTATCTTTTCCATTTTCCTCAGCAGTATCACCCCGCCGCTTTTTATCCTTATCTTTGTCCTTATCCTTATCCTTATCCTTATCCTTGTCCTTGTCCTTGTCCTTGGAGGATTTATCTTTGTGCTTATCATCCTTGCGATCCTTATCCTTCTTGTCGGACTTGTGATGATCCTTGTCCCGGTGCCGATGGGACTCTTTTTCCTTATCCCGGTCACGTTCCTTCTCGCGTTTTCGTTCATCCTTCAGTATACGCACGTAATCGCGAAACCAATCCTCGCGAGTATTTGCTGAATCGACAACACGATAACGCCAGTCAGATTCCAGCATTTTTTTACAATCACTCCAGTGTGAATGTCTGTCGATGTCTTTTTGCTCCCGTAGCATCGTCATGAAATCCTTTCTCACCTGAAATTGTCGTTTATTTAAATAAATACAATCATTTATTATTACATATGTAAACTTAATATTTAATTTAATTCTAAGTCTTAATTTACTTTTATTTAACTATTTATTTTAATATATATTTTCCAATCAATTTATTACTCTCTGTTTATCATTATTAAAAATAAATTTATCGTGAGAAATATATTCATTGGAAATAAATAAGACATTAATGAGCTGTAAAAAAATTCATTATTAATTATCACTTTGAAAAAAAATTATTTTATTAAAATTTATTACTCGTATCTCCGCTAATTTTTTTTTTTTTTTTTAATATAAAAAATTAACCTCTTTTTAAAATATTACTCTCGTTTAGTGAATATACATTTGGTTAATTAGCGGAGATTCGTTTATTTATCTGAAATAATTAATTAATTAGCTGGCTGGCCTTGCTGTAAAAATTAAAGAGATTAATTATATTAATTATTCTTAATAGTAATTGATAATTCATGGTCGGTGAACGATGACGCGATTTAGACACTAATCAACCATTCAAATCAATAAATTGATCAAAAAAACTTGAAATTTTTGACAAAGTACTAAATCAAGATAGACTAATTCAACAATTTTTTATGAAAATGTTCAAGTATTTAAAGCAATTAATAAAAAAAATATGAAAAAAAAAGTAAATACGACCGTGTGAATCCGCTCGCTACCTCATCGTCTACCCCAGTTTAAGATAAGTTAGCTTTATCCCATTAATTAATTAACGAACAGATTAATTAATTAATTAACAATAACAAATCATATATATTTACTAAATTATTGATTGAATGAAAATTTGAACGGTGGGAAAGTAGTTAATTTGTTTTTTTTTTTTTTTTTTTTTGTTTTGCTTTGAAGTAACGAGGATTACGAGTAATATACAAATACCGAGTTGGTTTTTTCATTCTCATGACTCTGCTTTGGAGTTAAGAATGCGGCGCGCGAGGGTGTGTGTGCCAACGGTGCCACGCAGTGTGTAGTTGGGGATGGAGATCAGACATCATCCCATGCCACCAACCAGCCTCAGTAACACCAAGCCAATCATCCACATACTGTCCTGCCTGCCTCCTGACTGAAGTGGAGAGTTCAGAATACATAAGTCACAGTAACTAACAATTCATTTCATTTTGTTAAACACATTTGTCATACTCTTTTTTAATAATTATATCTATATATATTTATTTTTTTTTTTTTTTAATAAAATTACTCTTTTATCTTTATACTTAATATTTAAATTCTTTAAAGAATCTAATTTAAATCCTCTTCAGCTTTATCATTAATTATAATTTTGTTTTTTAAAAATTTTTTTCTTTTATCTTTAAAAGCTTACAAGTTTAACAAAATAATAACATACCTATTAAATCTGAAATAAGTAATAAATTAATGCTGAAAATAATAATTATTAAACATGAATTATTAATGAAATAATTGCATATAATTATATAAATTAAATAAAAAAAAAATTTATATATGCAATTATTTTACCTAAAATTATTAATAAAAAATAAAATTAATTAGCCTTAAATCCTAACGAATTTAAATTTAAAAATTGAATTTTACTAAAAAAAAATATTAAAAAAAAACTTGAAGTATTATTACAATTAATGTTGCAAATACAATTGATACCTGTTCTCGTTTGGCGTTTTTTTCTTCTTTCTCGCGTTTTCTCACTTCCAGTATCCATTCGTTGAAAAGACTTTCTCGCTCACGCATCTTTTCAACGTTTTTAAAACGGTCATCGCGTCCGTGCTTTTGTGCAAAATCGCTGAAAGACGATCTGGAAGCCAATCGAATATTTATAACCCATACGGTAAATTTAAATTTAAATAAAAAAAAAAATTGAATAATACAATAAATAAAAATCTACACGTACTTTCCATGTAAATTAGCTTCTTCCAGCAATTTTTGAAATTGTTCCTTACGTTCCTTCATTTTATTCCTTTTCTCGCGCCTCTCCTCTTCAGCGCGTTCCTTCACGTACTTTTCAAATACTTGTTTCCGTTCCTTTGAGGTCAACAGTAAATATCGAGGGTCGAATACTATTTTATGCAATTCCTTCTCCCAAGTACTGAATGCCGATACCTTTAAAATAAATTTATATTTATGATAAAACAAATTTATCTATCAAAACATTGTAACAAAAAATTTCGGATTAAATAAAAAAACTAACGTCTTTCTCAGCGAGCATTTCTTTGAATGATTTTATCCTTGTCTCTAGTGGAACAATCGCTCGTTCCCTCGCAGCACGAACTTCAGCTTCAATAGCAGCCTCCTTGCCAATATCAATTGTTTTCTTACCTTCTTTTTCTTCCTCTTCTTTAACAACTACTGCTGCTGCTGCTGCTGCTGCTGCTGGTTCTGAGTAACGAAAGTAATTTTTATAAATCAATAAATTTCAGAATTTAATTTACGTTTGAAAAATATTTTTTTTTTCCACCTAAAAAAAAAAATTCGTACCTTCAGGCTCTTCTTGCTTAGCTTTCTTAGCAGGACCAGGATGATCATCATCACTACTGTCACTGGAATCATCTTGCTTAGCATTTTTCTGATTAGCTGCAGCCTCTGGCATGTTGGCCATCATCTTATCGACATCCTGTCGCCCAAGAAGATCATCAGGTCTCTCCCAAACAGAAATTCTCGACGAAGGATTGTAAAAGAAGACCCTACCGTCACCTGTCCAAACGACGCACCAAGGAGTACCGGGTACCGGAGTGCTTGAAATCGGCCTAGACTTATCTTGGGGCTTGACCGGCTCTTTGGGAGCCTCTTCCTTCTTCTTGGCAGCGTCACCGTCTTTAGCGTCTTTGGTGTCATTAGCAGCCTCAGCAGCTTTGTCCTGCTTGGGATCAAGCACCGAGCTCAGAATGTCCGTAGTGGCCATCGCTTCCTCCGCTTTCTGCCTCAGCGCTATTTTGGCAGCTTCTAAATCTTTCAGAGGTTGGGGTTTTTCCCACACAGACTCACCAGCTTTGCTATTGTAGTAATACAAACGCCCGTCTGGAGAACGATGTTCACTCCACACCATCGCCGCGGCTACCAACTCTTGGTCCAACTGGGCGAGAATCGTCGGGTCTTCTGTTGGAGTTTGTGGCGCGATAACTCCGTGAGACATCTGCGGCATTCCCCATCCAGTTTGTGGTGGACCATACCCACCAAAAGGCTGAAACCCTGGTGGTGGCATTCCAAATGGCGCTGCACCAAAAGGAGTTGCCATTGGAGCGCCAAATTGATTTGGCATTCGGTGCTGCATTGGTACCATGTTTGGTGGTGGTTGCAGCATATTTGTTGCTACTGGTTGAGCTGCTGTTACTGTTGTGTTTACACTTGTTACTGTACCTATTTAATTATCAAAAAATTAATTAATATTTTTTAAATTCAACAATCCACTAAGGTTAAGTAACCAGTAGTTTATTTATCAGTTTAATCAAAACGTTTAATAATTTTTAACTAGACTAATTTTTAGCTATAAAACTTATTTAATTTTGTATTACAACCATTCGAAAAGTCTGTTCAAGTACTGGGTCCTTTACCTTATGGTTGATCAATGTAAAAAAAAAATAAAATAACATTACCATTAGGCTGTGTAACTTCAGCAACTGGCTGTTGAACAACATCCGGAGCTTCATTGAGCATCGGTGGAGGACCAGTGCCCGGTGGCGCTGTATTTGCCTGATTCATTGTATCTGCATTAGGTGATTGTTCATTACCTGGTGTTCTTGGTTCAGCTAGAGCTTGGGGTTGTGACTGTTGCTGCGGTTGCTGAGATGGTTGTTGCTGCTGTGGCGCTTGTTGGGACTGTTGTGCTGGCGGCTGCTGTTGTTGTTGAGGTTGACTTGCTGTCGACACTGGTGTTGTTTCTCTCGCTGGTTGTTTGGCTGCACCGTGAACCAATTGCTCCAACTATTTCAATTTTATTAATCGAAAATTGTAAATAATGATAATGATAATGAAATAAGAGCATATAAATATTGGATCAATGATTTTACCTGATCTTGACCCATAACCCGAACATTTGGGCCCTCGGGTTTGGTCCACGTAGTTTCTCTAGACCGAATATTGTAAAAATAAGACTTGCCATCCGCTGTCTTTGTTTCCACCCATACCTCGCCATTAAGGTCCAATCCTGGAATGTTGTTTTGTTGCTGAGCTTGCTGTTGTTGCGGTTGCTGCTGACCTGGAATCTAAATAAACAAATATATATTATATGACTAAATTAAACAAAAAAATTCTAACATTTATTACAGATTACAGTAAATAAACATTTACGCTGTTCATGTTCGGCGGACCCATTCCAGGAGGTCCATACGGATTTCCTGATGCCATAGGTCCATTCATCATGTGCGGGGGTGGCTACAAATCACCACAATTATTTTATTATTATTTGATCTTCAGCATTACCGATATCTATCTATCTATCTATTCTATCTATACTTATGAATGGATTACTTATCCGGAGCCTATATTTTTTTGACTTAGAAATGATAAATGTTTATTGTAACTAAATTTATTCTATTCGATTGTCATTTGTTTAAAATAAATTTTTTAATTCTATTGGTTATGTTTATATACTAGGCAGAGATTTTTTCACTTATGAGATCTGCAATTTCTTCAACTGAAATTTTCAATATGCTCATTACAAATTTTTTTTCAAATCAATTATCATTCATTATTGTTAAAAAGACACGGGAATGTTATAATGATTGTACATTGAAAGTTACAATGAATATTAGCTAGAATAATTATGTGTGTGGATAAAAGGCGCATGTCAATTTGATAGAATTGAGAATCTGTGCAAGTCAAAACAATACTCTAATTAAATTTAAAGTCTAGATATAAAAATGTAATTCTATAAAGCGCCTAGCGGAGCGGGCGAGTAATAGCTAGTAAATATATAAAAAAAATATTTTTTGTTCAATAATATACCATTCCTGGTGGGCCCATTAAATTAGGTGGTCCCATCATATTTGGAGGTCCCATAGGTCCCCAGCTAGGATCAAACGGTGGAGGTCCTCGGTATCTAGGTCCTGTAGGTCCTGGCGGGCAATTTGGTCTCGGTGGTCCTTCGTAAGGATACCCGTTATTTGTTGCTCGGTACATTGGGCCTCTAGGTCCGAATCCTCTGCCTCGAAATCTTGGTCCACTTCCTCCGCCACCTCCTCCACGCATTCCATATTCATATCCACGATCGTGAGGGCTAAAAGTTTAATAAATAATCTTTAAATATAATATAATTTAATGTTGTCAAGTTAAATTAAAACTCGCGCAAGTTGCATACTACTCCATTCTACAATTCATTGCAACAAAATGCTAACAAAGTATTTCAAGTTATTGAATTTTTTTTTGAAAATTAATTTACCAGATATTGAATAAATTTTTTAACAAATAAATTATGGCAAAAAAAAAATTGACATGTAGAAATTTAAAAAAATTAAAAATGCAATTTTTGAAAAATTATTTTTTGGAACAAATTTTTTTATTAAAAAAAAATTTAAAAAATTTTCTAGTGACTGCTAACTTTAATGACATATTTTTTTTTACAATTTTTAAAAGCAAATGTAGATAAAATTTAAAGTTTAGTTAACATAAAATAATAAATGATATACCTGAAGCCACCTCGTCCTCGTGGCATATAATGCCGGTATTCATCGCCTTCGTACCCATACTCTTCACCTTCTTCCATCGGTTCTTCAACATGTTCTTGTTGCTCAGGATTTACCGGAGGTACTTCCTGGCTAACAACGCTAGGTTGTTCACTAGCTGTCTCCATTAGTGCAATTTTGTTTTAAATAAGTCAATCTATCATCAACTTGACGTCAATTTTAGCGAAGTTAATTTATCCTAATACCTATTTTAATTATTAGTGATAGTGAGGTAATTAAAACTAAAAATAATACAGAACTTTCTTGCAATCAATTGTTAACCTCCATAGCAATTAAACCTATAGATAATAAGCATAGAAACATGTTTGTAGAGAATACAAAAAAAAAAAAAAACACAATCTATGTATTATACAATATTAAAAAATAAGCTTCAAGACGCAAGTAACAAAAAAATCACAAGTTCACATAGAAGACCAAAAAATATAATGACACTTAAGATTTTTAATACTAATTATTTAGTAATTAATTCGTTAATGATAACTTAAAATAAATATCAATAATCAATAATATATATAAAGTTGATTGATTATTATTATCAATGTCAAATGTTTTTGACGCGACAAAATGCCGGATTTTGATGGACGAGAAGGTAGAAGAGAGGTTACGTCTGTATCTGTTTGAAACTGTAATGGCCGCTTTTGGCTTGTTTTTATATATTAATTTTTTTTTTTCACTGTCTTATCAACCGGGTTGACTTTGGCGCTCAATTCAATTTCTTTGCGCGGGACATTTGAATCTCAGTCATTTTTCGCGCAGCACAATCATCCCGCGTGAAATTCTAACCTTAAAAGTTGTTGATGCTTATACATTCAAGCAGTCGGAGTTGTGATTAAATTATTAAATTTTTTTTTATTGATAATTATTAAATAATTGAATTAAATATGGTAAAAAATTATTCGTCTTCAGTTTCGATAGATAGTAACAAAGAACCGCAAGTATTTACGAGAGACACAGTTGATTGTCAAGATTTAGGATCAAATTTTTTGCAAAAGACAAAGGATTATGCGAAACAATTTTTCTACGTCTATTCTTGTCGACTCCAGGAACTCAGAAGTATTTTAGAAGACAAAGTATCCAAAAAATGGCGTAATTATTTTTATTTTTTCATGTTAATTTTAATGATACCGAAATTAGCAGACATTTAGTGGTCATTTTTTTTTTTTTTTTTTTCATATTCATAGCAGCTAAATTGATGATGCTGAAATTAGCAGTCATCTAACAATTCTTGGAGTTTTTTAGGACAAATAATTATAAAAAGAAAAAAAATTTTTTTTTTTAATTCACACTTATACTTGTTAAAATTTCTAAATGTCCAATCACTTGTTGAATTTTTTTTATTATAATTTAATTGTTATGAAAATCTAAACAATTGTCATTATCATTAAGCAGTCACTTGATAATTTTTAAATTTTATTGAATAAACAAATTTTTCTGAAAAATTATTTAAAAAAAATTGCATTTATATTTTTTTCTTATTCTTTTTGCCATAATTTATTTGTTAAAAAAAAATTACTAAATATCTGCTAAATTAATTATCATACATTTTTTACGCTAATAACTAATAAAATGTTTCAGCGAATGTGAAAATTCTAAAGCTAGCTGAGCTTGAAAACTTGGAAGACGATAAATGTATCGTCATTGGTACACTGTTCAAGCACCAAGCATGGAAACCTTCGATTTTACGCGAGCTGAGCGATGAAATCGAGGAATCGGGTGTTATTCCCGAGAGACGTGCTCACTATGCCAGTGAAAAGGACCAAGTGTTCCTGGAAGACGAGATGCTGAGAATAAAAGTTGTAGGAGACGTTGATCTGTCGGGAATAGTCACTGGAGTTGTCTGCGCTGTGCTGGGCAAAACTCTGGACGACGGGTCATTTAAAATAGAAGACTGGTGTTTTCCTGGATGTCCACCGCATCAGGATCTACCGTCTGCTGCTTCAGGAAAGCTTCTTCTGGTGTCAGGCCTTGATTTGGCGAGTGAGACCAACAACTTGGCTCGCCATTTGCTGCTGGAGTGGATCAGCGGGATGGCAGGAAGCTCAGAAGCTCAGAAAGAAGCAGCTTCTATCATAAATGTCGTGATTGCCGGTAATAGTATAAAGACAACTGACTCGGAAAATCAACACAGTCGTGGTTTGATGGGCACGAAAGCACTGGAGATTGCTTCTAGTCGTGAGCTGTCGATCGGTGTTAGTAAACTCGATAAATTGCTCACTGAGATGTTGAACTACTGCTCAGTTACGTTGATGCCAGGTCAGTTTGATCCTTCGAATGTCATGCTTCCTCAGAAACCAATTCACCGGCTGCTGCTTCGTGAATCCAAAGGGTTCGAGAATCTCAGGGGTGTCAACAATCCTTGGTCTGGTGTCGTCGGCAATCGGCTAATTTGTGGCTCCAGTGGCCAGCCTATTGAAGATATTATGCGTGTCATCGGAGACTCCGAAGCAACTGCTCTTCAATGGCTGGAAAAAACTCTCGAGTGGAGACACTTTTGTCCTACTGCTCCTGATACTTTGCCTTCATATCCGTTCCATGATAAGGATCTCTTCATCATGCAGCAGTGTCCTGATATTTATTTTGCTGGCAATACTGATAAATTTGAAACCAAGATCTGGAAAGGTACAATTTTTTTTTTTTTTTTTAAGGTAGTTGTCATGGTACAATATTGTCAAAAAATTAGAGATTTTCTGACGGTATACCTTAACCACGACAACTACGCTAACTTTTATTGATAATTTTGTAAGTTGATATTTAGAATAATAACTACATTAATTTTGGGTTACAGCGGAAGATGATAAACCTGTAAGACTGATATGTGTTCCGAAATTTTCTACGACCAGCACTGCCGTACTCGTTGATCTTAAGACACTTGATGTTACTCCAGTATCATTTGGGATTAATTAATTAATTAATTTTTTTTATGCTTCGCATTTTTTGTACTTTATTTCCAATAGTGCCTTAATAATTTTTTTTTATATTTTTAAATGTTGAATAAAATGAAATTGAGATACGACCGTCTTAATTTTTCTATTTCTCAATACAGATGTAGATTGTAATTTTTCGTAGAACGAGCAACTATATAATGTATATTTTTCTTTATTTCTAAATGTCAGACAATGAATCAATAGATTGCTTTATAGAGTAGAGATAAGTTTTTTTTTATTATCATACAACGTGCTTTTGTAAACGGTAGAATTAAAAATGTTTCGAATCGCTTGTGTAACAATGTTATCGAAGAATAAGTCAGCTTGGATAAAGTAACTAGTTTAAAAAATGCTTTTCAAGTAGTGAAAAATTAAATCAAACAAGTAATTCAGACACAAAATAAAATAAAGAAAAAAACGTACTAAAAATTCATAGAGAAATTCTCAGTAAAACGCAACAAAAAAAAAAAATAACACACTATTCATTTGGCACTGTTTTTTTTTTAGTTTATTCTAAATTATGTATTATCCGAAATATATAAATTACATTTTTGTACAATAAAAAAAGGTATTAATGAAAAGAAAAAAAAAACAGTATATTCAATGACTGAGATTCTAATAATCGTAATCATTATAATTATAAATACGCTTTGAGAACAATATCAACCACTAATTTAACCTTCAGTATTTTTCAAATAGTATAAAATTAAAATGTACATACGTTCAAGTGGTAAATTGATTAGTTATTAATTCGAATATTAAAAGAGTGTAAAACAACAATAATAGTTATAATTAATAATAATAATGATAATAATAATAATAAAAGTAATCATATGATATAATATAATATAATGCAATTATGTTTTTTAAACAATGTATAGAAGGTGGTGAGCGTTCTCTAAACGTAACAGTATTAATTACATACAATGAAAAAAGACAGGACCTTTTTTTTTTTCTTATTAATGACAATATCATAAATGTAAACATTGGTATTTTCATTTTTTTTCTTTATACAAACAGCAATTGTTCACTAGTATCTTTTTTTTTTAATTAATAATAATAATGATAATAGTACTATTCGTTTTAACATATTACGACAAGAAAAATAAGCTCAAGGCGTATTATCAGTATTATTATTATTATTATTATTATTAATATTTATAGCTAAATTTATAATTAATTAATTATTTGATCCTCCTTCTCCCTTATTAATTTAAGCGATTAAATGAAATTATAAAATTTATGTTTATAATACACTTTACAGATTAATACTAGACTTAAGGTGCATGTCTCATTTTTTTTTTTTTTTAATTATTTTTTTTTTCATTTTTTTTCACCTAGGCATTATATAACAATTGAGAGGTATGCAATTTTTTTTTATTTTTTAATTTTCATATTTTTTTGTTACTATTTTTAAAAATTTTTTGTTTATCTTTTTAATATGTATAGTAACGGTTTTTTCGTCTATATTTAATTAATATATTCTTTTAATTAAATATTAGACATTCATCACGATAAGTATTAATTATAATTATAATATTAATTATTATTATTAATATCTCCTATCTCTTGGTCGTTAAGCGTATTCTTTCTTTTTCAGTATCTCTTTCGTCTCCAACTGTCCACTCGGGATCATTTGGATCTTCACCGTCGGCATCACAATATGCCGACTCCGTTGTATCCGATCCTGGTGACGCTGGATCTGCTTCCTAGGTATGTAAATTACCATCAGTTACGTAGATAACTTTACTACTTAAAATTTTTTTAAAAGTTTTTTAAATTACTTACATAATTCGGTATTTTTTCGGTTGCTTGAGGACATATAGCAGATGTTGTTGACTGCAAATGTCCATCAGGCATAATTTGTACCATTTTATCATAAACTTCTTCCGATAACGGAAATAGTCTAGGCTCATACGCTGGAACCTGAAAAAAAATCAAATGTAGGTTTTCATAATAGCTATTTTATAATTATTTTTATTTTTTTGATATGCATAAAATTTTTTATTAATTAACGATTAGATTCTGATAAATCTTAAAAAATTTTTCATTATAGTTGTAATAAAAATAAACTTAATAATTAAAATTAAAAAACTATTTAAATACTATATCCTAATCATTGAAAACGCTGTTCTTTTGTAACACGACAATTAGTATAGATTTATGACCTCATGTTTCATGTTTTTTATTTAAATCGATAATAGTGCTAACTTCCGGCATACTTTCCTCGTAATCTACAAACAAGAGCTAGACTTGCGCTTTAGTTTAAAAATTTTTTAAAGACTTGGCTTTACAGATCATTGAACTTTAGTTTAAAATAATTTTGTAAATTTCTACATAAAGCTTGTACGTACATTGTACACATAACAAAAGAATTAAACGAGATAAAATTTAATAAAGAAATCAATCGATTCCGAGACCCTCATCCTACCCGCTGACGATTGACGTAGTTCGAGGGTGGAATACAACCCTCAATAAATATTTCTTCCCTTCAAATTAATTGTTTATTTATATCTTACAACTACGATGAATGACTCGGCGTAAAAATGACCCGAGCGCCAGTAAAAAATAAAAATAAATTCAACTACAACTTATTTTACAATAAATCATTTTTATCTTTATGCGGGATTTTGAGTCAACAATCAACGTCCTAATAAATTTTGCGATAAAAAAATTTATCAATCTATTTAAATTTAAATATTTAAATACCTCACTATCCTCTTCAGGATTGGTGCTATTGGCTTCTTCTCTGCACGTTCTGGCAGACGATATTGTTCGTCTCCGAATGGCATTTTGTAGAGAATTTCTTTGACTGTCCAGAGTGTTAGAATGATCAGCGTCATGACTACTCATCGGCGTTGCTGGTGGTGATGTCAGTGGTGACGTTACGTCTCCAAGTTCACTAGGATGCGGTGACATTGGATCTTAAATAAATAAATAAATAATGTAAATAAAAATTAACTTAGTTATCTAAATTTTTAAATGACTCCGAGGAGTTATCTTTTTTGAATCAATATTTAATTAATAAGTACCTGGAGTATTGGCACCACTATCAGCTCTACTATCAGTCCTACGACTATGACGAAGACGATTTTGTGGAACGGTACTTAAATACGTCATAAATCGTTTATTTTCTTCACGTTCACTACGTTCATGTCGTTGGGCTATAGCTTCATCTGATACATCCTCGACCTATAAATAAATTTAATTATATTATTATAATCATAATTGTAATAAATTATTATCAAATTTCCTGATCAATTAATTACGTAAACTATTAAATAATTAGATATTGTACTATTAATGACGGTAATGGTAAACTTACATCACTATCTTGACTAGGCCTGTGGATGACACCGTTTTTAACGTCCGTTTTTGTAATATCATCACAAATTCTCCATCTATAATCAATAACAAACATTTAACCGTAACCAATCTATTGTTCTCTCATTAAAAAAAAAAAAAATTATTATTATAATAAATAAAATAACAAACTTACTTTGGTGTTAATATTTCTTTATACTGAAGTTTTTCTACTCTAGTAGCCGCAGCAACGCTGTACGGTATGACAATATTATCAATATCAAAGGACTGCTGTCGTGTTCGTCTAAAAAAAATTCAAACAATTAATTTTTATAGATATATTCAATCTAATTAAAAACAAAAACTTATTTTCAATTATTCTTATAAAGAGATACGAAAATAATTAGATAACTTATTTGTTAAACCGCGTAGGACTTTGAGAAATTAATAACAGATTCTTGATTTTTAATTATAAAATAATATTTACTCGAGGTTTGTGACTTTATTCAGCAAAAGACCAATTGTTGAATATTTTTATAATAAAAAAAAATAATACTTTTTCTTATCAAAAAAATTTTTTAAATAAATATCAATGACATTTATAACTTAATAAAATAAATAAAAAAAAAAAAAATTTACCCGTGTGAATTAGAGCTCTTTTCTTTCGGAAGAATTTTTTCGATAGCAGGATGCTGTAAAGGTGAAGGCACTGGAGACGAATGTTTGCTAGAACTCGACTGACTAACATCATCCTCATCTTCGTTTTGTTGTGACAATTTATTAACTCTTTTTCTATTTAATCCAGTTAAATTTCTACCACCCACAGCAGTTCCACTATTACTTAATTTCTCGCGTTTTCCCTTTAACATCTTTCTTTTTAATCTCGCGGTGATAATCGTCGACGAGGAGGTCTTTTTCACTCTCTGGGCATTATATTTATTGGGTTTATTATGTTCAGGCGGTAGTTTTGGTTTGTTCCTCCTCTCAATGGACTCTCTTTCCTTTTCTTTAATCCTAGGTATCCTCGTGCTGCCTCGAAGCATTTTCTGCTGCCAATCTGTCGTCTTCATAATGGCATCCATATGCGTGCTGTGCAGGGCCTCATCGGGGAATGAAAGAACTGGATGATAGCAAGGATCAACCATCGCGATTCTCTCAGGTACTGACAGCTGGTCGAAGGGTTCCTGAGGTTGCATTGGGTCAATACGGCCAGTACACAGCGCACAGGACGCCATTGTTTGATCACAGTCACATCTTACGGTAGACGGCCTCGCAGCGCGCTTAGACAGCTCATGTAGACCATCAACACGTAGTAATTTACGCTTTCTGTAGGTATCCGAGACAAATCCACGTGTTCTTGCACATTGTTGCTCCGATTCTGGTGAATTATACCGATTCGACAAACCCGGCAACGTTCCGCTGTACCCATTCACCGTTTCAGCGCCTTCCAACACCACCTGACCTTTATTCTGCCTGATTACTCGTTGCAGATCATTGTGTTGACGTATACGGTACTCGAGATCAGATATTTGTGCATTTAGCCACGTCCACCTCGACGCTATCGCTGCACGATCCTGGGCATATCTCCACGCAGCTCGTTTTATTCTAAAAACAATATCAAGGCATTAATAAAATAACTAGGACTTAAATTATCGATAGATCTTTTTTTATAATCTTTTAATTATTAATTAATTAATTTTGACAAGTATTAAGAAAAATTCATAATTTTGATCAAAGATACTCTTTTGTCAAATTTTATACAACAGATAACACTTTAATTATATTTGATAAAAAAGATAATTTTTATTTTTCATTTTAAAATAATTTTGTAGAAATAGTCTAATCGAATATGTTTCAAATAAGTGTAAATTAAAGTTGTTTGTTTTGTTATTGATCGGTAGTAAATTTTATCTCACACTCATAAATTATGTTGTTATTAAAAAAAAAAAAAAAAAATCTTCACTTTAAATGGACAGGTATAATTGTCTTCATTTAAAAAAGTATCTTTTTGAGTTAGAGCTCAATTATAGATTTTTAATAAATTAATTAAACTATGTTAGTAATTAATAACCACCAGAACTGAACTCTAATAAATAATAATCAGTTACTGGGAGTATTTGTGAAGTTACAGTTAGACAAAAAAAAAAAAAAAAAATACAAAGACCAAAATAACGATTGCTAGCTAATGCTTCGCGTAGTCTATATTTATACGTAACGTAACTAATCAATAATACGGAAAATTACACGTTAGTATATTTATTCACATTTTATTAATTTAAAATATTTGATATCATCAAATTTTTGTGTTATCAAAGCGATAAAAACAAAAAATGAATCATTATTTGAAAATAAAACAACATGTTTAAAATGTAATTATTTAATCTATAAAGTTGTTAATTACTTGATAGATTTTAAAATTATATGTTAGTAAAATGTTTTAACAGGTGATTGTCCAATGAATGTAAAATATACAATCGTATTAAATCCTCAGTTATGCAAAAGGGGATACGTGTTAGTGAGTCATCACATGATGCAATACTTGTTAAAATTGTGTTAAGTCTATTTGATAAATATCAATCCAATAAATAATTATTAAATGTTGTTGTTTTATCCAAATAAGTTTAGTTAAAAGGTAAATAAGCTGAAAAAAAAATAAAAGCACTCACATGGGTAACTCATATTGATGGGTATTATTAAATGTTTGCATTTCATCACAGCTTTCACCACCGCTGCTGGAGACGGTGCAATCAGAATCAAAACTAGCTTCGATAGTATGAAGTTGAGTAGCCAGAGAACCAGCAACATGTTCAACTTCTTTCTTATCAACTTTAATTTGGGACGTCCCTAACAATGGATGTCTTGTGCTAGAAGCACTGCCGGTATTACCAATAGCACTACTACTAACACCACTATTAACACTAGCAGCATTGACAACACCACTACTACCTATTAAACTAATACTAGTAACATTATCACGCGAACCACCTCCGAAGTAACGACAATAACTGCGTTGACGATTAACACTGTTGCTCTGAGCAGCACAAGATTTTTCAACTCGTTGTAAGAATGCACTTAGTGGATGGGTGTTCTCGGACAAGTTTTTCATATGAGTTCCTTTGGGCATTAGCATCGGTAAGTCTTGCGAAAGTATGGGCTTGACACTCTGGTGGGCTTGCTCCAGCACGCTGGTCGTCTCTTCAGCGGCATGTCGGGCTATAAATTTAGCTTGGAGTTTACGTAGACGTCTCATTAAAAATGCCGTTCGTCTTTCTAGCTCAAACTGTCTATGTTCAACGGTATCTTGCTGTACCTGAAGATTAGCAGTACGTTGAGCCTCACTAGAGTCAGCCATGTTCATATTAATATTCATGTTCATATTCATATTCATATTCATGTTCATGTTCATGTTCATGTTCATGCCAATGTTGTCGTCAACAAGTTTCATAACTACCTCGTTGAACATTTCGCTGCTGAAAGACGCGAGGGCTGTATCAGAGATGGGGAATATCTCGGGACAAGGTACACCTGTTTCGCTGGAACCGCTTGGTATGATAGCGTCACCGGGATCTTCGATGGCTTGCTCCACGCCTTCCATTGACTTGATAACCTGAAGAATGTCATCGACATTATGCCCAATGTCCCCAACAACGTCGTTGCCAATATCATCGACAACATTCGCCTGTAACTCGTCGTTCAATTCCATCATAGGCGTCATGTCGATGTCCTTAACGTCTGCGGGGAGTTCATCATCAACGACCATCGACACTTCGGTCTCATTAGCTTTTAAAAAACCCATGTCGTCGTTGGTCTGATGACTAGTTGGTGGTCCAGCAGGAATATTTATGTCTTCAGCAGCACTAGCAGCAGTAAATGAAGAATTATCACTCATTATAGTATTGATGTTCTTGGCTTGGTTGCAATTCGGCATCACCGAGTGCAATTCCTCAGCCACGTGAGCCTCGTGCTTCGTTTTTCTTCCTCCAGCTTCACTACCTCCTTCTCCTCCTCCTCCTCCTCCTCCTTCTTCCTCTTCCTCCGCTGCCTCCTCCTCCTCCAATTTGGTGAAATTAATCTCTTGGTCGTCGTTTTGATCTTTATTATTATCACGCGGTGCTATCAAGTCAGTACCATTCGTAAACATCGACAGGCTTTCAAATTTACTAGCGTACTGTGAATTGATGACATCGCGGATCAGATCTTTGGATATGCCGCGCAGGCACTGCTCGTCAATCTTGCTCGGCTGTACGCTTGCTGACACTACGAATTTAGCCAAGACCTCACGATTCTGGCAGACCTGAATGTTAAAAAACTTTTAAGACAACCGTCTGATTAAAACATTGGTACTTTAAAATTATAATTATTTAAGGTAGTACGAGCGCTAGGCGGGGTGGGGATAGGAATCGACTCTAGCGCGGTAAGAGGAGAGCAGTAATCATATGATTTTTTTCAATATATAGATATACATTTAACAGTAGCTAATCGCGGCATTTATTTTTCTTTTAATTGATACACTTTAATTAGTAGGGTAAATTTAAATTTTTTTGAATTAAATTTATCCATAAGTTTTTTAAAAATACCGAAATGTATAAATGTTTGGAGATTACCCCATAAGACCAATGTTAAATTGTTCAACTTCAAAGTTAATTATTCGTTTAAATAATCGGACAATCTCCTTCAAATTTTCGGAATTTATTTAGACATATTCAAATTTTATATTAAAAAAAAATCAAGCCTTTCATCAAAAGTTGCCTTGGTGCTCGTATTACCTTAATTAGAGTAATGATCGAAAAAGAATCTTAAAATTGTGTTAAATTTTTAAAATAACAAAATTAACTGGTAATCAAATAAAAATTTATCATTGCCTTGTTATTTTGTCATAAAAAATTCTATTCTATTTTTATCTCCAATAAAATTTTTCTGATTTATTCAACAGTTATTGATGTGCAATGAAAAATAATGAGGTTAAAATCCCTTGGGGTAAAAAAAAACTATCTGACGTTTAATTTTTAAGCTTTCCAGTTCGATCACCACTCGGTGTATAAATGATAAAACAATGATAAAAATTACCTGCGCAGCCTGTTCCGAAGATAGAAATCCACTAGCCGGTAAGGGGTTTATTAAATCGGCAGGCTTTTGAGGACCACCTTCCGTCAGAGCAGGGGCCATCACTGCCACTGACGCAGCTGGTGCCACTGCCTCGACATCCAGAGGCTCCCACCGGTACCTAAACCCGCGCCTGTGCTGTTCAGGCGCCGTGCTTACTCCCATTCATCCATTACTCGGTCTACCTTCGTGTGTCCTCCCAATCTCTCTTCTTGCTACTGATTATTTTTTTTCACCAATCCAATAGTTACTTTAAAACTTTTAATAAATCTCAAAAGCCCACTTATACACCACTTGGCTACGGTTTGTTAGTTAGGTAGTGTCAATATTCCTCCTTAGTTCCGTAATCATTTTTTCTTTTACTAGTGCCTAAAAATAATAATAAAGTAAATAAATAAATCAATAACTCAATCATCAATCACTCAAACAAATCAGTATAAATGTTTATACAAACTCACCAGAAATTATTTTTTATTTCCATCGATTTTTGAGTGACTGTTTCTGTTGACGAGGGCGTTTATCTACGCGCTGATTATTTTCAGTCCAGCAAGCCGGTACTGATCTGCGGGCAAAAAAAAAAATAATTATTAAACTTTCATTACTGCCTCATTTTTAAATATTATAGAATAGAATAGTCTAGACAAGATTTTCTAGTTTTTATTTAAGTTTAATATATCTAAACTTTAAATTGACCTGTTGTAAATAAAGATATTTTTATAAATTGAAAAGCTAGATGTCTGGGAGTGCCAGGTAGCGATTGAATTGGAGAGATAAAGAAAACAACTACCAACAAAAGAGACAACTGATAAGAAAGTAAGAAAAAGAAAGAAAGCAACCAAGTATGAAGATGATGATGATGAAGGAACATTTCAAAAATTATTTTTAAAATCACAAAAAAAAAAAATAAGCCGGCTTCAAGGGCGTCGCCGGCTCAACTAAACGTAGTATTATTTGACTTTTTTGTTATTGTATTAAATAACTTGAAAGTCTGACGCATTACCACGTGATTGAAGAGCAATGAGAGAGCTCTATCAACCCAATCCGCCCGCCACTAATCATTTATTTACTCCGATAAAAAAAGTACCGGCTAATTTTTTTTTTACAGCCTTCCGTCTACAACATATTTTTCTTTAGCTCAGCGATAGGTCGTTACACGCGGACGCGCGTCCGTTGCATAATGACGCGGGAGAAAAATAAATTTCTTCACAATAGAGTCAACTGTATGGTTACTTTACACACAAAGCATATTTATATGCATTATAAAAACCAAAGTGTTTGTTCTTCAGTAGTACGTAATATGAGTAGCTGCCTCAACTTAACAACAGTAAACGAATATTTAATTAAACATATATAACATATTAATATAAGCAGCCAGACAAGGGGTGCGGTGACGAGATGGCGACGGTAAAAAAAGAAACCGCATCGAGAGGATCGTCTGCTTTTAAAATGATTATTTCAATTTCTTCTTAACTTTTGTAATCCGTATAAATTGGTCAATTACACACGTTAATAAACAAATCATATTAATAATAATAGCTGAGTAAATAGAGTATAGTGGAAATGGCGGCGAAAAAAAATAAAAAAAACGCCACGAGCGGTACAGATCCTTTTCGGGTTACTCAGAATTTTTCTCTTTCCATCTACCATTATTCTATAAGTATGTCTTGCTCTCTTTCACTCCTATCCAACTCCACTGACTTTACTCATATATACGCATATTAGTCTTACTCAGTCAGACCAACACACTAACCACTACCACCACCATCATCACCATCTCTTTATTATCCATAGCAATAGCAGTCCACTCACACAGCTATCACGGCGTTAGTTTCCTCCTCAGTCGCGTTGCACACACTAGAGCAACGGGCGCGGGGTACAAAGACGCAACCAACAACCAGCAAAAACGAGGGATTCGATCTGAATCCCAATGCCTGGATGATGATAATGATGATGATGATGATGATGATTATGATAGTAAACAGCTCAGATATTTATTAACAATTCACCTTTAGCAAATAAATCCTTTTCTCACTTCCTGTCTGTCTCTCTTCACTATTTTTCTTTTACACATAAAAATAAATGTTGGATTAAAAATTTGTTATTTCCAACAGGTCAACATGACTTCTCCAAGAAAAACTAAAAATAATATTTATATATATATATATATATATATATATATATATATATATATA